TTGACCATGCTCCCTCCCAGGGAGACGTGACTCCAGCACCTTCCCTGCTGCCACCAAGGAGCTGCAGTCACCCGCAGGGCTCAGGTGCAACCCGCATGACCAGGCTCGGCGGTGGCAGGTGCTGCCACCCAGGGATGCTGCAGGGAAGAGCCTCTGGGTTTGGGCTCAGGGCTGCTGACCCCACGTCCCCTGGCGGGATCCCCCCTGGGACAGGCACTGGGATGGGGACGCCGTGCTGGCGGATCCCCGCGCTCCCTACAGCCATCCTCAGCCTCTGCCAAGGAAGTGCCTGCAAGAGGCAGGGTGGGGACGGCAGCATCCTGAATGCCACGCACTGGGGACAGGAGCCAAAGCATTTCTATCTTCCGGAAAGCGATGCCGACTCTCCGACAGCTCCGGCTGCCGGGGGCAGCTCCAGCCGGATCGGCTGCTCGGCAGCCACCGGGAACACTGGGGCCAAGGTACAACCTTGGGCAAACCCGCCAACACCCACACTGCTCCCCACAGCTCTCGCCTTCCCTGTGGTTTCCCCCTCATCTCCTGCCACCTGCCTGTTCCTGGGCTGCCACCTGCTCCCATCCGGCTGCTCCAGCGCAGCCGAGCTGCTGGCATCCATCCTCACCGCGTCCCCATGCTGGCTGCTCACCACCAGCACCCAGGCCACGGCACACACTGGGGCAGAGCAATCACACTGTCAGGGCAGAGCAACGGCCCTCGAAGGGAAGCGCCTCTGGCACGGGAGCAGCAGCTCTGTTGCAGTGGGACAAGGGGCATCCCCTGCCCTGGCAGCAGGGATGGCACCAGGGGGTTGGCAGCACTGGGATGGCAGCAGCGCTGCTGCTCCAGGATCGGGGTGGGCTCTGTCCCTGCACAGAGCCAGCAGGGATGGCACAGGTCCCTCACATCCAGCCCGGGTCATGGAGGCCATAGGCAAGGCTCATGCTTGCAGCAGCCCTGTTACCACCCACATCCCACCCCCGCCACAGGAGCACCGTGTCCCGGCCCTGGCCTGGGGGCCACTGGGCTGCAACACCCTTTATTCATGGAGTCCCAGCGTCAGCCCTGGGCTGGAAACACAAGCCCAGCCCAGCCCAGTTCCCCAGTGCGTTGTCCCCAGTGCGGCCCAGTCTCATGGGCAGAGTGGGAGCATCCCACCAGCCCGAGAGTGCCTGGGTCCTGGCACCAGCCCCAGCAGCTCCATTGCTCTCTGAGCACCAAGCCCTTTCCCATCCCCACTGGTCAGATCCTGCTGCTGGTGTTGGTGTAGTGTGGCGCGGTGTTGGTGCAGGCACTGGCCCATCCACACCAGCTCCTGTTCCTGCACAAACACCGGTGGCAGGGAGGGGACCGCAGGCAAAGGCAAACAGTTACTGATTTACTGCCGCATTGTTGACTGTGGGGTTAAATTACCTGGAGACGGACCCCGGCAGAGTGGACACTGGCTCGTGACTCGGGCAGGGACCGTGTGCCGGCCCCACATGCTCCTGGCCACACAGGTCTGCAGGATGCTCCAGCCTGGAGCTGGGTCTGCCCCTGGTGCCTCTGCCAGCAACAAGGGCACATCACTGGGGATGGGGAGGTCTCACCCTCTGCCCTGTGCAGGCTCCGCCTGTGACCATACCCAGGATGGGCCCCAGGGAGCTGGGATGCTCTAAGATTGACCCCCAGCAACAGTGTCCGGCCCATGGCCCCCAGCCAGACAGCACCGGCAGCACGCAGGAAGATCCTCATTGCAGCGGCATCCAAACAACCAAAGGCGTTGAGCTGACACCGAGACCTGCGAGCCAAGGGGGGTCCCTGGGCTCCCCGCGCAGTGTGCTGGGCATCGGGAGGGATTAAAGCCACCACTGACAGCACCGGTGGAGACAGGATCTGGCAGGGCAGAAAACTGCTGAGAGCAGGGCAGGAGAGCGGCAGCTCCAGGCTGCTTGGCCACCGGAGCAAACAAACCCCGGCTCGATGCTGCATCCCCGTGTGCCCGAGGGCGCCTCGGGAGGGGTATCCCAGAACCGCCGTGCAGAGGGGCTCTGGGTCCTACAGCACCGCCGTGCCCGGAGCACCGGGCGTGCAGCCAGAGCGTGCCGGCTGCTCGCTCCCCGCCAGCCACTCGCCCAACCGGTGCTGCCGGATGGCCCGGGCCGCATCCCCGGGGCTGCTGCAGGCTGCGAGGACGGCGGGGGCTGCGCGAGGAGGCTGCGGCCGGGCAGCAGGAGCTGTCGGGGGGCACCAGGGGCAGCCCCGGGGCAGGCGCTGGCCGGAGGCACAGCAGCCTGGGGAGCCCTTCAGTGGAGGAGCGAAAGCTGGAGGAGTACGAGCGGCTGGAGCAGGAGTGCTGCCGCCCATCCACAGCGCCAGCATTGCCAGCGTCGGGGCACCAGTGACTCAGGCTGGGGGCTCCACTCGAGCCTCAGGCGGCGGTGGCAGGAGGAGTCTGAGCAGGGCTAGATCATGCGGCACCCCCGTGCGCCCGCTCCAGCGGCATCCCCTTGGGCTCCATCCCGAGCCCTGCACGGTGCCACCACAGCGCCGTGCGTCCCGCCTGGGCACCGGGTCCGGAGGGCTGGGGCACGCAGCGCACGGGGCCGCGCTGGCCCCTGCTCTTCCTGCCCGGCCAGTTCTCGGCGCGGCCGCCCGGGCTCCTCCAGGCTCCCCCTCCCTGGTCGGCCGCCAGCAGCGGCAGATACCTGATACTCGGTTGTGCAAGCGCGAAGGGGGAGCCTGGCCCTGCCCGGCCCCCGGGAGCCACCCGGAAGGCCGAGCCCTCCCTCCCGCCGCCGCCCCACCTGCACAGGAGCTTAAAGGCCGCCGGGCGGCCCGAGGCGCAGCGCCGGTCCCGCACCATGCCCAAGGCCCGCAGCGTGCTCGTCCTGGCGGGGCTCCTGGCTCTCTGGGCAGAGCTGCCGCCAGCATCCGCCCAGAATGTCACCAGTGAGTATGAGCGCACGGCCCGGCCCGGCTCGGCTCGGCACGCCCCGGGCCAGCAGCCAGCATCACTCCCAGCCCCAGGGCCTGCCGGACTGGGGGCCAGGGCCGAGAACCAGCCGGCACCCGGCGCGGTTGGGCTCAGCAGCATCCCTGGACCCAGCCCTGGTGCTGGCGGCAGCATCTCCCGCCCCGGCGCCCACCCATGGCCTCCACCTTTGCCTTGCAGCAAAAGCCGGCGTGTGCCCAGACCCGGGGACAGAAGCAGTGAACTGCACGGTGGGGTGCCAGTCCGATGGCGACTGCGAGAGCACCCTCAAGTGCTGCCCGGCGGCCTGCGGCAAGGCCTGCCAGAAGCCCGACGGTAACGCTCCCTCCTGCTCCCGGTGCTGCTGCCACGAGCCCACAGCCCAGCCGGTGGCACCGGTGCTCCAGGGTGCGGGGCCTGGGTGCCCGTTGTGCATCGCCTGCAGTGCGGTTACCGGGGACTGAGCAGGGACCCCAGCGGGGCTGGGGTGTGCTCCCAGCGGCCACGCTCACCCTTCCTCCTCCCAGCAGGAGCCCAGGGACCGGTGCAGTGGGCAGGGGTCTGCGCCATTCCCCTCGCAGCCCTCATTACCCCTTCAGCCTGGTGGGCAGCAGCCAGCCCAGAACATGGGCATGGTCCTGCCTCCCAGCCATCATCCCTGGCCCTGCATGGACACAGCCCCACGGCCACCCGACTGAGCTCTCTCTGTGCCAGTCCTGCTGGAGAGCAGCCCCGGTGAATGGGCGCAAGAGCTGAGATCTCCAGTGGCAAACAGACGGATGTGAACCTGAGGCTCTGGTACCGCCATGGCTGCCTGCAAGGACAGAGCTGGCCCGGCTCTGCTGCAGGGCATGGTGCAGAGCTGGGAGCCCAGTGCTGGTGGCAGGCAGCTGGGCAGGATGGCAGGGACCCTGCGCACTGGGCCCCATCTGAGCCCACACACCACAAGCTCACAGCCGGGGATGGCCACAGCAGCTGTGGGGGAAAGTGGGGTCAAGGCACTATTGCGGCTGCATGATCTGTGCCACCGGGTCAGGCCACACCATGGGGTCCGGGGGTCTGCTGGCCAGGATGGGGGTCCCTGCACTGGGGCAGACGGGGGCTAGGCCATGCCAGCGGCTCCGGGGGCTGCAGGGTCGGCCCTGCCCCATGCGCTGGCGCCGGCAGGGCTCAGGCCATGTCCCTTTGCCTTTGCAGAGAAGCCCGGCACGTGCCCGCCCGTCAGCCCCGGGATCCCCATGCTGGGCGTCTGCACAAACCAGTGCAAGTCGGACTCCAACTGCTCCGGGAACCAGAAGTGCTGCAGGAATGGCTGCGGCAAAGTGTCCTGCGTGACACCCCTCCACTGAGGTCAGTCAGGTGCCCACCCGCCCCGGGGGTCCTGCAGCCCCCGTGGCCCATCCCGCTCACAGCTCTCTGCTCCCTTTGCAGGCACAGCCGCCTCCTGCCAGCCCGGCCACAGGGGAGCTGCTGCCCGACACGAGTCCTGCATGCCCAGGCCCTAGCCCTGCACCGTCCCCCTGCCTTGGTAGCCTTCAGCCTCATCCTCCTCCCTGGGGTCCCCTGCACTCTCTCCAATAAAGCAGCCTCTCCCTGCCAACCTCGGGCTGCCTCTCTCTACTGCTGTGCTCCTGAATGGGCAGCATCCTGCTCACTGCTGGTGCTGGTGCTGCCTGCAAGGGCTCCACATGACAAGCACCATCACTTACTGGCTGCACCGTGTCTCCAAGGGTCCCCAGTCTCTGCCATGGCCTCCACTTCTGTGCAGACAAGCTCAGAGTGTGGCCATCAAGGTGCAACCACATCTGTGTCCCATGGAGCAGACCTGCTCTCTGCTCTGCAGTGCCCCCCAGGCAGGACTGGGGACAGGACACCGCTTCCTGTGTCCCATCCCTCCCTGTGCTCCATCCCAGGAGCTGCTCACGGGTCACTGGTGACCTGGAAAGGGCTCCCTGTGGAGGATGCACCACTGTGGGCTGGGAGCCCAGCGCTGCCCTGGGAGGCTCCCCTGAGCTGGATTGTTCGTGCCCGGCGCTCCCACGATGCCCACATGGTGCTGCTGTGGGAAGGAGCAGCTCGGTGCTGCCGGACCCCACCCCAGCACGGTTTAAATCCCGGTCCTGGGGCCCAGCCCCAGCTCGGCTCCCCGACGGCAGCGCCATGCCCGGCTGGCGCAGCCTCCTCCTGCTGCTCCTGGCGCTGTCCGTGGAGCTCCCGCCCGCCCCGGCCCAGCAGCACCGCACCAGGCACCGGGGCGCTGCCCCCTCGCTCACTGCGGCACCGCGCCGGGCCCCGCGGCTTTGGCGGCCCCCCGCTGCCCTGCCTGCCCCCGGCAAGGGGAGCGAGTGCCCGGCGGGGGGGAGCGGGGCGCCCCGCGGGCCCGGGCTCTGCTGCCTCTCGGACCGCGGCTGCCCTGGAGCCCAGGGGCGCTGCCCTCGCCGCCCGCTCCGGACCTGCCTCCTGCCCAGCGCAGGTACCACGGGGCCGGGCGGGAGGCGGGCGGGGGCCGGGGCCCGTGTTGGGATCCCCGTTGCCGGGCACGCGGCATCACCCCCAGAGCCCCGGCTGCTGCCCCCGCACCGGCAGCGCCAGGAGCTGCCGCAAGGGCTCCGCCTGCAGCCCCGGCCAGGAGCGCTGCACCCGCGGCTGCTGCGCCCGCTGCCTGCGCACGGGGCCGGGTGCGGTGGCCCCACGTCCCCATCACGGACAAGCCCAAGCTCCGCAGCCCCCAGGGCTCCCAGGGACAGGCCGGCTGCACACGGAGCCCCAAATCCTCTTCCCTGCAGCCAAGCCTGGGCTTTGCCCGCGGAAGCGTGTCCAGAGGAGCGCCGTTGCCTGCTCCAGCCGCTGCGCTCATGACCGGGACTGCTCTGGGAACCGCAAGTGCTGCTTCTCCCGCTGCGGGCTGGCCTGTGCCTCCCCGGACAGAGGTAGGGCCCTGCCATCCCGCTCCTGAGGCTCCGCTCCCCCGGGGCAGGCGCTCACCAGACCCACACCCGCCTCAGCCGAGTGTGTGCCCCTGGCACTGCCCATGGCTGCCCCGCAGCCGCCCCGTGCCCACTGCAGCTGCACTGGTGGTGGCACAGCCCCTCCCTGCGAAGCCCGGCGTGTGCCCAGCAGGGTGTGCAGCTGGTGGCAGCCATCCAGGCCCAGGGAGCGTGTGCTGCCGGCTGTGGCACCCGGTGCCGGACGCACACCCTGACACAGCCCCAGGCACTGCGAGCCTGGGGACGGGGGCAGGACCAGGGGATGTGATGGGGGCACAATGGGGACCAAGTCACATGGGGCTGGAGGAAGCAAGATCCTGGCACTGCCGTGGTCCCCATTGTCACCAGTGAGCCGCCTCACTGCTGTGAAGCCTGGCACGTGCCCTGTGGTGCTGCGGGGGTCCCTGGGACCCTGCCTGGAGCTGTGTGACACCGACAGTGACTGCCCCGGGGCTGCCAAGTGCTGCACCACCGGCTGCGGACACATCTGCAAACCACCCACCGAGGGTAAAGCCACCAGCGCCCTGTGGCACTGAGACCCCCCAGGTCCCCTCCCTGCCCTGTCCCAGGCTGAGCTCCCCTGCCAGGACCTCACCCTGGAGGGGTGCCCTCCCCACAGGTAAGCCCCTCACCCCTCTGTCCCTCCACATGTGCCAGTGCGTCCTGGGCTCTGTCCCCCCATGGCTGATGGGGACCGGGCAGCCGAGTGCCTCCTGCTGTGCCTGCAGGACCGGGATTGTCCCCGCGAGCAGAAGTGCTGCCTGCGGGGCTGCGGCCGGACCTGCATCCCCCCGCTGCAAGGTAAGGCTCCCCCTGAGGCCCCCAGGTCCAGCAGCCCTGGGCACTGCACAGGCCTCACCCTGCAGCAGGTCCAGCCTGGAGGGGACCAAGAGTGACCTAGGGTGGGAGCACTCCATGGCCCCCATTGCCTGGGACAGGAGAACCCATCCTGCACTGACTGCCCCACCCATCTCCCCCAGGCACAGCCTAGCCCTGGCTGGGAAGGGCTGCACCAGGAGCTGGGTGCCAGAGCCGCTGTCATCGCACCCTGTGGGTGAGCAAAGAGCTGCTGCTGCTGCTTCCAGCACCCGCTGCCCCTTGTCTGTCCCTGCATCGGATCCTCTGTGCTGCCAGTCAGCTGCACCAGCATTGCTCTGGCGGGTCCTGTCCAGGGCATTCAGCACCCCCAGACCCTGCACCCCATCGGCCCCGGCTGCTCCACAGCACTGGAACAGAATAAACTGCGTTCAGCTCTGGGTGCCTCTGCAGTGGGTTCCAGGAGGCGCAGGCAGCCCCCGGCTGTGTCACAGACAGGGAAGTGCAGGCGGGCACCCGGCAGCATCTCTGCAGGCAGGCACTGGCCCGGGGCAAGGAGAGGTTCCCGTTTCCATGCGGGCGCCCTCCAGCCGCCATCATCCCATAGTGACCGTCCCACTGTGTGTGGGGCTGCACCGATGTCCCCTCAGCAGTCGTGGGCTGGAGAGCAGAAACCAGTTCCCTCGGATTCCTGCCACCAAGGAAGGGCCCATTAACATCCCAAAGTGTCAAAGCCTGGTTGGAAAAGCAGTCACGGGGTAGATGAAGGACCCAGACAAGCAGGGACAGCACCCACCTGCCAGAGGCCACTGCAGGGTGCAGGGGGTGCGTGTGGGAATGCACGAGTCCACTCGCATCCCGGTCCCAGCCCAGCCCCGTCACCACCAGGGGACACGGAGCTGGCCCAGGACACGTCTCCCACCTCTGGTCCCCCTGCAGGGGTCTGGGGGGGGCCGGGCAGGGCCGGGCCGTGCACTGCAGGGTCAGCAGCCGCCTGACCCCAGCCGCCCTCCCGGCCCCGCGGTCGCCCTGACCCACAAGCGGGGCTCGGCCGCAGATAAGCGGGGGCTGGCGGGGAGCCGGCGGGTTCCAGGAACTGCCCCTCCTCCTGCCCCTGCCCCCTGCCCGGCCCGGCCCGGCGGCAGCCCGGCTCCAGCTGCCCCGGCACCAGGCACCCCCACCGGGGACCTTAAACCCACCCCCGGCTCAGCTCCGGACACACACAGCGTCCAGGCAGCACCATGAGGTTGGTTTGGCTCCTTCTGGGGCTCATCACCCTCAGGGCAGAGGCGGGCACCGTACCTCAGGAGGCGGGCGGTGAGTACTGCAGGAGAGCCTGGCAGCTGCCAGGCACAGGCCCCCCGGCCCCTGTGCCCCGCTGTGTCCCCTCTGCCCCTGCCCGCTGCATGCTGGCACTGCCTGGCACGTGCTGGTGGGGACCATGTCCCTGGCAGCTGCAGCATCTGTGGCACAGCCCTGCTGCCTCCGTGAGCCCACCCCCGTTCTGGGCTGCATGGGCATGTCTGCACCCCCTGCACCCCACATGCACCCCACATGCACCCCTGCACCCCACATGCACCCCTTGCACTCTGCATGCACAGCAGCTGTCAGCACCCAGGGGTGCCACAGGCAGCAGGGGCCCCTTCCCCATCCTCCCTGGGCACCCCCCACTGTTACAGGGGGACGTGGATTCAGGATGTCAGTGCCCGCAGAGCCCAGAGCTGAGGAAGGGTCTCTGCGGAGTGGGGCTGCAGGTAACGGTGGGTGCCAGACCTGCAGCTCTGCAGTGTCCGGGCTCTGGTCCCTGCACCTCCCACCCCTGCACAAAGCCCCTGACCACGGGGATGGATCCAAACCCCAGCGGAGGGGCCGGGGCTGTGGGTGCCGCTTCCCAGCACAGACCCCACTGGAGGATGCCCCTTCCATGGGGCGATGAGGGGTGGTTGTGCCCGGCTGTGGTGCTGTTCTGCCCGCCCCAGCAGCCGGGTTCCTCTTTGTTTCAACCAAACCGCTGCTGTTTGGAGTGAAACCTCCTGCAGCGTCTCCGTTTGCAGCCGAAACAGCGCGGCTGGCGCTGGGTGTTTGCAGGAACCACTGCCCACGGGCATTCCCCACTGCTGGCAATGGGGCACAGGCACCGGCTGCAGCACACACTCACCTGTGCCCATGGCAGGGCTACCCTGGTTTTCCCGGCATGGCCAAGACGAGCACAGGGTGCCAGGAGGAGGAGGAAGAGGTGGCAGCAGCAAGGAGCACGCTGCTTGCAGTGGGGATGCACAGGGCAGCAGGATACTCAGGGATGGACCCTGACCTCCAGCCAGCGTGGGCTCTGTACCGCCTTCTCCATGACAACACCACTGACACTCCTTGTAGCACTCGCTGCATCACAAGGGCGCACACAGCCCCAAGCCATGCCACACCGTGCCGTGCTGTGCTGCGCAGGTCTCAGTGTGTGGGTACAGCAGTCCAAGGGACATGCTGCAGGGGAGTCCCCAGCCCCACTCCAATCAGCCCCCCTCTACCAGGGCCCCCCAGGTATGGAGGATGAGAGGCTCCATCCTACTGCCCCGGGGATGGAGGATGAGAAGCTCCATCCTCTTGTCACAGGGGTGGAGGCTGAGGAGCTCTGGTTCTGCTCCCTGGGGATGGAGGCTGAGGAGCTCCATCCCACTGCCCTGGGGATGGAGGATGAGGAGCTCCATCCCACTGCCCTGGGGATGAAGGATGAGGAGCTTTGGTCCCACTCCACCGCAGGGGAACCCGAGAAGCCGGGGAGGTGCCCGCGGGACTTCACACGCTGCCTGCACCTGGAGCCCCCGCTCTGTGCCAATGACTCCAGCTGCCCCGGCTGGCACAAGTGCTGCCTCCGAGAGTGCCGGCTTCGCTGCACCACCCCGGCACAAGGTACGGCACTGCAGCGCAGCACTTCTGTCCTGGGGCAGCCAGGACCCTTCTCCCCTGTCCCTGTCACTTGTGCCACCCCCATTGACATGGAGCAGTTCCCTGTGTGATGCTGGCAGCCTCCTGCCCACAGCCCCAACGGCTGGCATGGGGCATGTGGAGGGGTTTGGGATGGGGCAAGTGGTGGGGGCCAGCCAGAGGCAGCAGAGGGCTCTGGCAGGGGCAGGATGCGCTGCCCTCAACACTGTTGGTGCAGCCTCACCTCAGCCCCGTGCCACAACACTGCAGAGAAACCCGGCGCCTGCCCGGCGGCAGCCCCCGAGGGGCTCTTCTACCCCTGCTCCTTCCCCTGCCTGGAGGACCGGGACTGCCTGGGGATGCAGAAGTGCTGCGCGCTGGGCTGCGGCTCCGCCTGCCTGGAGCCGGTGCAGGGTAAGGCCCAGGGCAGCCCCGGCTCCCCGCTGCGTGTCTGCGGGGCCCGCCCGTGCCGTAGCCACCTCCCTGCCCCCGCGGGCCACGAGCCGCTCCCCTCCACTGCCAGCGCCTGGACCACGGTGAGGGGCCAGGGAGCCCGGCGCGGGCAGGCACCCGCGGGGGTGCCGCAGCCTCGCACCCGCTGTGCTCCCCCAGCCCAACGCAAGCCCGGGGAGTGCCCCGCGGCGCAGCCGGGGCCGGAGGGCCCGTGCCAGGAGCGGTGCCGCGGCGACAGCGACTGCCCCGACGTGCAGAAGTGCTGCAGGAGCAGCTGCGGGGGACAGTGCCTGCCCCCAGCCCCGGCCGGTGAGATGGGGCGGGACGGGCAGCGCGGGGGCCCAGGGGTGATGCCATGGGGCCAGACCCCCCCAGGCACAGAGCGGTGGCACAGCGGGGCCCCCCACGGGGCTGGGCTCTGCCGGTGCCAGCCGCTCGCTGCTGTCCCCTGCGGCCCCAGTGCGGGTGCCACTACAGGGACGCACCGCGCGGCTCCTGGGCGGGCACTAGGGCAGGCGGGGGACACGAGGCCATCCCGCTCTGTCCTCACCGCCGGCACCGTCCCGCTCTGCGGTGCAGGGGACACCAGCCCTGCCACAGCCACCCCGCAGCCGCCCCAGCAGCAGAGGTGCCGCCAGGACCAGGACTGTCCCCGCTCCGAGGTGTGCTGCCACCAGCGGTGCAGCCGGCAGTGCCACGCACACAGCCAAGGTGAGCGGGTCAGACCTGCCATGGAGCCTTGATGGCTCTGCCCACCCTGGTGCCCAGGGCTGTGCTCTGAGCAGCGCCGGGAGCCGAGGGCACAGGGCTGCCAGCACCGGTGCAGCACTCAGGGCTGCACCAAGGAGGTGGGTGAGTGCCGCAGCAGGGCAGGAGCCAGGCAGTGCCAGGGTGGGAAGGGATGGGTTTGTGCTGGTCCCCACTGGCATTCCTGGCACCCCACGGGCCGTCTGCCTTGCAGGGCCCCCTACGGCCACACCAGCCCGGCAGGAGGGAGTAAGGTGCCAGAGTGATGGGGACTGCAGCAGCAAGGAGACGTGCTGCGATGGCCAGTGCGCGGGGTCGTGCAGCACTGTGCACCAAGGTGGGACACGGGGGGCAGTAAATCCGGGGAGCTACGGGGGCAAGGGCAGCTCCTCTCCACACGTCTGAGAGAGGGTCTGGCTCCAGCCCCGTGGTTCTGGTGGGAGGAGAAGCCGCAGCATTGCCACAGGGTAGAGCTGTGCTGCGGTTCCTGGTGCAGCAGGGCCATGGTGCTGAGGGGGCTGCGGTGCCGGGGATGCATGCCCTGGACAGCCCCACAGCCACCCCATGCCATGCCCTCCAGAGAAGCCCGGCTTCTGCCCTGCCCGTCCCGGGCTCTTCCCCAGTTACGACTGCAGAGCCTGGTGCTGGCACGATGCTGGGTGCCCCGGTGAGGAGAAGTGCTGCCTGCATGGCTGCGACTACGTCTGCCTGCCCCCGGCCAGAGGTGCGAGCTGCTCGGCCCCAGCAGGAGAGCAGTGGGCTGGGATCCCCCCAGCTGCAGGGCTGTGGGTGCCATCACCCCCTGTGCCCACAGCTCCACTGCCTCCTGTCCCCAGAGAAGCCGAGCATCTGCCCTGTGGCCACGGAGGCACCAGCGGCTGCGGCCCCATGCGGCACTGCCTGTGCTGGGGACTGGCAGTGCCCAGGGGATGAAAAGTGCTGCAGCAGCGCATGTGGGCACGTGTGCTCCGCCCCTGAGCGAGGTGAGGACACAGCCACGGGGCCCACATGGGCAACATGGAAGAGCTCCCGCGGGGCAGGTGGAGCCCACAGGGCAGGGGGTGCCCGCAGTGCAGGGAGTCCCTGTCCTTGTCGCCCCTTCCCACCCCTCAGACAAACCCGGCGAGTGCCCGCGGGTGAGGCCGCGGCAGCCACCGGAGCCGTGTGAGGAGGAGGATTCCTGCGCCCACGACAGGGACTGTCCCCGGCAGCAGAAGTGCTGCTTCTCCGGCTGCGCCATGCACTGCACCCGCCCAGCCCGAGGTGAGCGCGGGCAGCCCAGACCCTGCACGGGCACGGCGTGCGTGGGACCCGCACCTGAGCTGGTCCCTGCCCATGCCCATGCAGAGCACCCCGGGCAGTGCCCTCGGGCAGAGCCGTGCTGGGACCCGCGGCGCAGGCGCCGGAGCCAGTGCCTGGACGACAGCGCCTGCAGGCGAGCCGAGAAGTGCTGCAACACCGGCTGCGCCTGGGAGTGCGTGGCCGTGCCCAGAGGTACCAGGGCATTGCTGGGGGGAACTGGCCACCAGCCCCCGCGGGCCACCGGCTGACAGCAGTGGCTGTGCCCCTGCAGAGAGCTGGGACAGCGAGGGTGGGCAGTGCATGGAGGAGTGCGAGGCTGACTTACAGTGTCCCCGGGGACAGAGGTGCATCAGCAACGGCTGCGGCCGTGTCTGCACAGACATCCCTGGAGGTGAGAGCCAGCCGCATGCCCCAGAGCAATGCGGGGCCAACCCTGGGGTGCCCCATGGTGGGATACCCCCGCCGGGTGCTTCCCTTGCAGGCAGAGTGGGAGCATGCCCCATCCCCAGGGAGGCAGGGACGTGCCTGGACCTCTGCAGCTTCGATGAGGAGTGTCCCTGGGGACACAAGTGCTGCAGCAATGGCTGTGGCCATGTCTGCACCCCCGCCTCTCTGCAAGGTCAGCATCAGGTACCCCCTCCTGGCTGACACCAACGCAACGGGGCCAGCCGGGTGCTCCCTCCCCAGCGAGGGGGGGCTGTGCCCCAGGGTCCCGCACGCTCCCCACTGTCCCTGTCCGTCCTTCTGTGCCCCCGCCTCGCTCCATGCACGGGATGAGCACGCACGGCCTCAGCCTGGGGCTGCCCATGACCGTGCCCTCCCTCCCACAGAGCGCGGCACCGCAGCCATGCCCTGGCATGGGCCCGAGCGGTGCCCGCAGGAGTGCGAGGCCGACTCGCAGTGCCCCAGGGGCCAGCGCTGCACCCACAGCGGCTGCGGCCACGTCTGCACGGACACCCCCAGAGGTGAGGTGGGGCTGGGCCAGCCGGGACCCAACAGTGCCCTGGGGTGCCCCACAGGGGCTGCTCTGCATCATGGGCAAGGGGTATGTGCCCTATGGCCAGGGGCATGAGTGTGGCTGGACCTCTGCAGCCTCCATGAGGACTGTGCCCGGGGGCGCTGTCCCTGTCTGCCCACTGGTGCCTGCAGGGAAAGGGGCACTGGGCCAGCAAGCAGGGGCCAGCACCAGGGCAGAGCCACATGAAGGGCTCAGAACTCAGTGTGCTCCTGGCTCCACATCACCGCAGCGAGCCCCTGCCATTGCCACATCCCTCTGCTCCCAGCAGAGATGTGCTTTTGGGTTAAGAGGACCTGAAAGGATGCAGAGCTGGAAGAAACTGCTGCCAGAACCAGCTGTGGCCTCTGCAGCCTCAGAGCTCCCTAAAACCACGTCCTTTTCAGATGCCGCATGACCCAAGAGCAGCTCCTTCGTGGCACGAAGACACCTTCAGAAAGGGAACACGGGGCCAGCTGGCTTGTCCCCTCCCCACCACCTCCAGCAATAAAGCCTGTGCTTGGCCACCTCCAGCTGCCCCCTGAGCCTTGGCAGCACCAGGTTGACCCCACCAGGCACTGGGACAGCCCCAGGGCTCACCGGGGCAGGGATGGCCTTACCAGGGCTGGGGCGGGTGGCTCAGGACCTTCCCCAGAGGTCAGTGAAGCGATGCAGACACAGACCCAGGTCTGGGGCAGACACGGACCCGAGGCTGTGGGACGGGAATGCCCCAGCATCCACCAAAGGGTCTGTTCCCCCTCCATCAGGTTGCTCGAGCTCCCAGCCAGGTCACGGCAGCAGCTTGAGGGCAGAGCTGGGGCTGGGAGCCCATGCAGGGGCAGTGGGAGCTGCAGGGGGGTGCCTGGATGAGCCTGGGGCTGCACGTGGGGCTGCTGAGAGCACCCAGCGCCTGGTGGCAGCGCAGGAGGGCAGCCCAGAGGGATGGGCACTGCCTGCACAGGCAGGAAGGACAAGACCCAGACGTGCTCATCCGAGGACCTGCACTTGTATTGAGGTGACGCAGCCCATGGGAGGGTCAGGCTCCTCCAGCCGGGCACCATGGCACGGGAGGGTGCAGCCGCACTGCCGTGGGTGCGCGTCCCTGCCCCTGGGCTGGTGAACACCCCTGGCAGAGCCGCAGCCACCCTGGCCAGCAGCACCCATCACTGCCAGCCCTGTGGGGAGCGGCTCCCCATGGGGACAGGGCTGTTGCCACCAGCAGCAGCTTTCCCTGGGCAGGGACGATTTAGAGGCCACTGTGGTCCCCGGGCCAGCACTACCGAGCACCTGGAACTGAGACACAGCGCATCAGGAGCGGGCAGGGGCGGCACGGGGCACACGGCACAGGCACAGGGCTAGTTACCGATGTGGGAGCAGGCCTGGGAGCACTCGGCCTGGGTCTCGAAGTTGTTCCTGTTGCCACCGCAGCCGCCGTAGATGAACTCCTCGCACCGCTGGCTGGAGGCGTTGAAGAAGAAGCGGCGGAAGAGCGCCTTGCAGCTCCCGCAGACAGAGGGCAGGTAGCAGAAGTCTGCGTGGTCCAAGGGAACAGGCTGAGCCACGGGTGGCAAACGGGTGCTGCCGGGCTCGGCACCCCCAGGGCCCCTGGAGAAACCCCCACAGCTCCGGGTCCCTTCTTAGCATCAAACCCTCCCCACCAGCAGCCAGCTCTGCGCCCACCAGCCCCATGGCCCCACACACCTGCAGCTGGTTACTCCCCACCCCACAGCATGGGGCCCCCTGGCTCTGCAGGACCTACAAGAGCTCAGGGATACCCCAGGGAAACCCCCTCCTGGTCTGCTTGGCTCCCACCCCGCTGCTGACCCCCAGCACTGCGGCATCGAGCCCTCACCCAGCACTGGCTCCTGGCACGTGTGGCCGCACTTGCTGGGGCAGCACTTGGTGGCACCGGGGCAGCCAGCATCGCTGGTGCAGTGGGAGCAGGAGGCATCCTTGTGGCAGGCTTTGCAGTCCTGGTGCAGCAGGTCCTCTACCTCTGGGATGTGGTAGCAGTACCCAGGCTTCACTGCAGGACACAGACACCAGGACGCTGGGGAGGGCTCAGGGCAGCCCCCAGCACCCCACGGCTGGATGCTGGTCACCCGCAGCCCCGTGCCCCTGCAGGCACCGCCCAGGGAGCTCTGGGTGGCAGCAGCATCAGGAGCATCCCCGGTACATGCCCTTAACACACTCACCCGTCCCCAGCTCCTCTTGTCCAGCTGTGAGCGGGGCCGGGCCAGACCGTGCAGAGAGGGGGAGCAGGGCTGCGAGGAGGGGCAAAAGGAAGAGGTGGCCGGGCAGCAGCTCCATGGTGCCCTGGGAGCCGGGTCTGGCCCGGGCGCGGCGGGCTGGGATTTAAGGTGTGCCGGGGGGCGGAGGGAGCCCGGTTAATTCCTGCCATGTGGGTAAGGAGCCGCGCCCAGGCCGGGCCCGGCCTCCCCGCAGCATCCCGCGGCAGCGCCGAGCCGGGGCGACCGGTACGACGGGATGGCTGCGCCGGTGCGGCAGCGGCACTGGCACTGGCACTGGCACTGCCCGCGCTGGGCTGGGGGCACCACCGGTCCCCGCCGCAGCTCCTGGGGACGGGCACGGGGAGGGCGGTGCCAGGCTCTGCGCTGCCAGGGAGCGGAAAGCGGCCGCGGTGGCACAGGGCAGGGTCTGGCACCGGGCGCCGCGGGACTGCTCTGCCCCCGGTGCAGGTCCTCGGGGAAAGGCCCCTTCAGCCCCTTCTCTCGCACTGCCCCCGGGGATGGAGCATCCCGGGCGGGCGGTCCCACCAAGGGCTGAGCCCCCGGTGCCACCCCCTGTGCCAGCCACCACTGCTGTGGAAGGGGGGTCCCCAGGACAGTGATGCTCCCGTCTCTCCTCTCCCTGCAGGCACTTTGCCACCCACTCCATCCCCTTCTCCTGGGCTGGGACCATCCCCTTCACCCGCTCCTCTCCCGGGGCTCCTGTGCCTGTGCCCCCCCGAGCCCCGCTGCGTGTGAGGCATTCCCTGGGACACAGCCGGAGGTCCAGACCCACGGCGGCACTGGGCAGGGCACAGGCACATCCCCGGCTTCCTGCCAACACCCGTGGGCGGGCGTGGGGTGAAACCTGCCAAGAGGAGGGAGAAACAGATTAAGCTGTTGCCATTCAGCAGGAATAATTGTCTTCCTAATGACGGGCGTAATTACCGTCCCAAGGGGGAAGTGGAGGGCGAGGAAAGCTCCGTGGGGAGAGGCCAAGAAAGTTGGATGTGGGGTGCAGTTTGTGGGGACACCCACGTCCCACTGCAGCCTTTCCCTGCCTCTGCTGTGAAACCCCAGCAGCAGCACCGCACGGGACACAGTGATGTGGCAAAGCCTGAGTGGGGCGAGAGCAAAGCTGGAGGGACTCAACAGTGATGGGAAAGAGACCCCTGCATAGGAACAGGGGTGGTCCTGGGGCTGCAGCTCATCCTCCGTGACCTGGAGCTGCACAGGACATTCCCAGTGGCCCAGAAACTCCCAGCCCTGCATCCCACAGGAGGGCAGGGCCACGGCACCAAAGCCACCGGTGCTACATTTTTCCCTATTATCTTCCCATGGTATCTCAGCCACCCGGGTGATCACTGCGGGGACTGACATCATCCAGAACAGCTCCCAGAGGAATGCCATGGCCAAGCTGGGCAGACACAGCCGTGGATATGGGGCCGGTGCCACCCGTGCTGGGGCTTGTGTCACCATGGTGTGGAGGGGGTGTGTGTGTGAGACAGCTCTGTGCCACCAGGATGATGCCCTGATGGGACTGGTGCTCCATGGGGTGATAGGAGCCAGGTGCTGTCCTGCTGCCCACCCCGGGACAGGGACAGCCCCTGCTCACAGCGAGGATCCCCCAGCACAGCAGAGCCCGCGCTCCCCACTGCTGCTCATCCCATGACTCCACGTGCTCCGGGATGGGTCACATCAATGGGAGAGAGTCCCCATGCAGTCAGTGGCACGCTGGCAAGCGCATGGTGCTGCCCAACCAGCCTGGACCGCGGTGGTTTGGGTGGCACATACACACCCATCCATCCATGCACACACATCCATCCATGCACACACATCCATCCATCCATGCACACACATCCATCCATGCACACACATCCATCCATCCATGCACACACATCCATCCATCCATGCACACACATCCATCCATGCACACACATCCATCCATCCATGCACACACATCCATCCATCCATGCACACACATCCATCCATGCACACACATCCATCCATCCATGCACACACATCCATCCATCCATGCACACACATCCATCCATGCACACACATCCATCCATCCATGCACACACATCCATCCATCCATGCACACACATCCATCCATGCACACACATCCATCCATCCATGCACACACATCCATCCATCCATGCACACACATCCATCCATGCACACACATCCATCCATCCATGCACACACATCCATCCATCCATGCACACACATCCATCCATGCACACACATCCATCCATCCATGCACACACATCCATCCATCCATGCACACACATCCATCCATGCACACACATCCATCCATCCATGCACACACATCCATCCATCCATGCACACACATCCATCCATGCACACACATCCATCCATCCATGCACACACATCCATCCATGCACACACATCCACCCATGCACACACATCCATCCATCCATGCACACCCATCCATCCATGCACACACATCCATCCATGCACACACATCCATCCATGCACACACATCCACCCATGCACACACATCCATCCATGCACACACATCCATCCATCCATGCACACACATCCATCCATGCACACACATCCACCCATGCACACACATCCACCCATGCACACACATCCATCCATGCACACCCATCCATCCATGCACACACATCCACCCATGCACACACACGGAGCATGGGCTGCACACATGCGCCCGCACACACACGTGTCCAGCCATGCCGGCTGCACGTGCACCCGCACCCGCTCGCACACGTGCAGGGAGCCGGCCCAGCGAGCGGGGCCCTGCAGCCTCTTCCCGGAAGGGAGCCGGTGGGGAAGTCCCAGCAGCTCCAGAGCCTCCGTCTCTGCCCCACGCAGCAGCAGCAGCAGCAGCAGCAGCAGCCGATCCCCCCCCAGCCCCATGCGTTGCTGGCTCGGGCAGCCCCTGCTGCCAGCTTGGCCTGTGGCACACCAGCAGGTGCCCCCATGGTGCAGGGGGCAGCTTCGTGCCCCCCAGGAGAGCCAGGGCCTGAGCAATGGCCAGGGGGTGCCAGGCATGGGCAGAGCTGTGTGGGACCGCAGCCAGAGCCTGGGAAGGGCTGTGTCCTTCCAGATGCTGATCCATGCCCATGCCCGGAGCCCCAGCAGCTGGAGCGGCTGCTCCCACCACCCCATGGGAGGGGACTGTGGGGTTCCAGCCCCATGGCAGGGAGCAGGAGGCAAGAGGGAACTCCAGCACTGTGTGACAAGGACCTGGGCACCCCTCCGGCTCCTCGAAGGACACAGGACCTGGTGCTATGAGCCCCCAGTCCCGGCACCCAGGCAGGGCACCCACAGAGCCTCCAGCTCCCTGCTCCCACCATCAGGGCCCTGAACCTGGTCCCCAGCTGCTGCCCCAGGTGTGGGGCCCGGTGGGCAGGGGCTGGGAGCCGGGGGGCTGCGGTGGCAGCGCGGGGCTGTGAACCGTGTCCTGTCACAGGACGTGCCCTGGGAGCCAGCGATTGTTCCCGAGGCAGAACAATGCCTGGGGAGCTGCCAGGGCACCGCGGCCGCTCCACAGTGCCCGGACGGGAGCCACCTCCATCGCCCCGGCAGGGCCGGCTCCATGGGGGTTCCCTGGACCCTGCCTGTACCTGCCCTATGCAACAGGAAGCTGCACCAGCTGCTCATGTGGCATGGCACAGCATGGTACAGCATGGCACACAGCACACATGGCACACAGCACACATGGCACACAGCACACAGCACAGCATGGCACACAGCACACATGGTACAGCATGGCACACAGCACACATGGCACACAGCACACATGGCACACAGCACACAGCACAGCATGGCACACAGCACACAGCACAGCATGGCACACAGCACACATGGTACAGCATGGCACACATGGCACAGCATGGCACACATGGCACAGCATGGCACACAGCACACATGGTACAGCATGGCACACAGCACACATGGTACACATGGTACAGCATGGCACACATAGCACAGCCTGGCACACAGCACACATGGTACAGCATGGCACACAGCACAGCACACACAGCACAGCATGGCACACGTAGCACAGCACACGTAGCACAGCACACATGGCACACGAGGCACAGCACACATGGCACACATGGCACACACAGCACAGCCTGGCACACACAGCACAGCACACACAGCACAGCACACATGGCACACACAGCACAGCCTGGCACACACAGCACAGCACACACAGCACAGCACACATGGCACACACAGCAAAGCCTGGCACACACAGCACAGCACACATGGCACACACAGCACACATGGCACACACAGCACACATGGCACACAAGGCACACATGGCACACACGGCACACACAGCAACCATGACACAGCCTGGCACATGAGGCACACACAGCACCCATGGCACACGAGGCACACATGGCACACACAGCACACACAGCACACATGGCACACGAGGCACACACAGCAACCATGACACAGCTCTCCCAGGGCTGCACAGAGCAGCAGCAGTTTTGTGCCTCCTGCCTGGCTCGTCCAGCAGCATCATGGGGGGGGGGGAGGTCACGCTCAGCCGGAGCGTGCTGGGCACTGGGCACGGACCAGGTCACTGGGACCGGCCTCCAGCCCCAAGAGGATTTAAAGCAGTGCCCGAGCCCTGGCACTGCCCTGCACCATGCGGCTGCTGCTGCTGCTCCTGCTGCTGGGGCTCTGCTGCCTCTGGGCCCGGCTCGTGTCTACCGGTGAGTGCAGGGCGGGCCCGGGCAGCCGGTGCTGCAGGAGGGTGCAGCCGTGGCTGGAGCCCAGCTCCTGAGCAGGGTCAGTGGCTGCACCCCCGGTGAGCCAGAGCCAGCGCTTGGGACACGGATGCTTTGGTCTCTCCCCAGGACTCACCTAACCCCTGTGGACCTGGGCCAAGGACCCAGCCTGTGCGGCCACCGGACAGCACAGACGGACAGACAGCAGCCATGGAGGGACCCACCAGCTGCTGGATCAGAGCCCCTTCCCCCGGTCCCACCTCCACCCCTCACCCTCATCTCCCTGCAGAGCACGGGGCTCTCAGTGCCCCCCAACCCCAGTAAACCCATTCTGCAATGAGCACTGCCTGGCTCCTGCTGCATCAGGCTCCTGGTGAGCCCCCGTGGCTGCCCTGGGAGCTTTGGGCCCTGCGGGAGGGACTGGGTCCGGGGGGGCTGTCACCGTGGCAGCACGTCCTGGGGATGGGTCTGTCCCCAGCTCCAGGAGCCCCTGTGGGCTCTGCCCTGGCGGCTGCTGGAGGATGCTGGAGGGTGGATGTGGGGCAGCTCCCCCTCAAGGAGCCCCTGGGAGCTGGGTAGGGTCTCCTGGCCCAGAGATGTTCTGTTGGTGCTGGCAGGGCTTGTCAGGGCCGTTCCCGTGGCTCTCCCACAGGGGACCAAGCCATGCTGCTGTGGAAAGGGCCCTGCCAGGCTCAGACCAGGCAGAAGCAGGAGCAGGAGCTCCTCATGCATGGGACAGGGTGGGGGCAGCCTTGACGGGCTGGCCATGCCAGGCACTGACCAGGGATAGTTTATCACGCCAAACCAGCGGCTCAGTGTGGGGTTTATTAGGAAAGAGAAGGACCTGACCAAACACGGCTGGTGCTCGGGCCAGCCCTGGCAGGGTGAGGCAGAGGAGGAGCCCCAGGGCAGCCAGCCCTGCACCCACCCACCACAGGCTCTGCTTGCTTCCTCACACACCTGGTGGCATCGATCACCAAGTGTCATCGCCATAACCACCACCACCATCATCACTGTCATCATCTTCAGCACCATCATCATCTCCATAGTCTTCATCATCACCACCATCACCGTCATAGCCATTGTCATCACTGTTGCTGTCATCGTCATCACCATTGCTGTTGCCATCATCACTGCCATCATCTCCATTATCATCGCCATCATCATCTCCAGCATCATCTCCATCGTCATTGCCATCACCATCTCCATCATCATCACCATCGCTGTCGCCATCGTCGTTGCCATCGTCATTGTCACCATTATCATCACCATCACCATGCTCGTTTTTACCCTTATCATCATCATCATCATTGTCGTCATCATCATCATCATCATCGTCATCATCCTCCCCGCTGTCACCCTGCTCAGACTCAGGTTTCTCTCCTGCCTCAGGCTTCCCCTCACTCTCTGGCTTCTCCCCAGCCTCCGGCTTCCCCCCAGTCTCTGGCTTCTCCCCCAGCACAGGTTTATCCCCAGTGTCCGGCTTCTCTCCAGTGCCCGGCTTCCCTCCAGCCCCTGGCTCTGCTACAACCTCTGGCTTCTCCTGGGTCTCAGTCTTCCCCCCACATGCTGGCTTCTTCCCTGAACTGGGTTTCTTCCCTGTGTCCGGCTTCCCAGCCAGTGCGGGCTTGTTCCCATCCAGTGCGGGCTTGTTCCCATCCAGTGCGGGCTTGTTCCCATCCAGTGCGGGCTTGTTCCCATCCAGTGCGGGCTTGTTCCCATCCAGTGCGGGCTTGTTCCCATCCAGTGTGGGCTTGTTCCCATCCACTGCGGGCTTGTTCCCATCCACTGCGGGCTTGTTCCCAGCCAGTGCGGGCTTGTTCCCATCCAGTGCGGGCTTGTTCCCAGCCAGTGCGGGCTTGTTCCCTGCCGCAGGCCCTCGCCCGGGCTCCGGCTTCTTCCCCGGTGCAGGCGTTGCAGCAGCCACGGGCAGGCACTGGTCCTTACACACCCACTCCGCGCACGCCTCCCAGGTCCCATCGCGGGCGGCGTTCCCGGGCAGCGCAGCGGGCACCGCGCTGGGCCCTTCCCCAGGCAAAAGGCTCTTCCCGAGCAGAGCGAGTCCGGGACATTCCGGCTGCAGCCGCGGGTCCGGGGCTGCTCCGGGGCGCCCTGGAAGGGAGCAGAGAGCAGCAGCGTCACCCCGTGCCCTGCCCTCCAACCCGCAGCTCCCGGCCATCGCCCCCAAAGCTCCAACCCCCCGGTTCCATCCCGTGCAGCCCGGATCCCACCCGCAGACAGGAACCGCGCATGCAGGGGGTGGCTGCAGGGCTCGAGGAGCTGGGGAGAATGCAGAGAGAAGCAAGAAAGTGAGTGTATGACTGCAGCAGCTGCTCAGCAAAACCAACCCAGATACAGCAGGTGCTGTTTAACCGGGGCAGGAATGCAGGAACTGGGAGCACTCAGGTCTATGAGCTCTCATTGAGCAGCAGCACGATCCCCCGCAGCAGCAGCGCAGCCCACGGCTCCCCACAGCAGTGCCATCTCCCTGGCATTGCTCTGGGGCAGGAAACGGGACCAATGCGTTGGCAGCAGAGGTACCAGCACCGCTGGTTGCTGGCAGAAGGGGGGTTATGCTGCAGGGCTTAGAAGCAGCCTGTAGCTGAGCCCAAAAGAAACTCGGGTTTCCAGAGGAGCACTGGGAAGCGATGACATTTCTGCTGACACATTCAGATCAGTGCACGGTGGCCCCAGCGTCCTGTTACAGAGCAGCAGCAAACCGGGCTCCCACTGCACAGGAGCTGGTGCTGCCTCAGAGCTCGAGCTCGGCTGGCAATGCTGGCAGGAGCATTCTGAAAGAGGAGGTTGTGTGAAATGCTCTCAATCACTTCATGGCTCATTCAGCAGGAGCGAGTGCTGTTTCCACGGCGTTGAAACGTGGCCAGTTTTCCCAAGAAAAAATAGTATTAGAAGGAAAACTTCTTCCTTGGTAATTTCCCCTCTCCAGCACGGCGCCTCCCCTGCGCTGGTGCTTCCAGAGGGCTCGCGATGGGAAATGCCCTGAACAGCCCCCAAGCCAAGCACTGGGGCAGCCGCCAGCAGAACCATCAGGGTCCAGCCCATCCCAGTCCCGGTGCAGCACCTGGGGCTCTGCCGGGGCTGCATCAGCACCAGTCCCTGCCCCAGGTCCTGGTTCAACCAAACCTCCCCCCCCGAGCATCCCTGTGCCTGCGGGCCAGTTCCACAACCCTCTGCATCCCGGCAGGAGTTTTGTTGAGCTCAGAGTTTACGCAACTGAAGCCAGGGCTAAACCTGAGCAGGGTTCCAGCTCCTCACAGGAAGCTTTCAGAAGGACAGGGGTTAAAGAAGACATTTAAACACATCAGCATCAGCACTGATCTAGTGGAGGATGTCCCTGCTCATTGGAAGCTTTCAGGAAGCTTTCAGAAGGACAGGGGTTAAAGAAGACATTTAAAAACATCAGCATCAGCACTGATCTAGTGGAGGATGTCCCTGCTCATTGCAGGGGCTTGGGGCAATGACCCCGCTTCCAACCCAAACCACCCCGCGAGCCCCTGAACACACAGAAAGCACCCCCAGTGCTGGCGAGGCCGGGGGCCCCCAGCCCGCCCGTACTTGCCTGCGGTGGGTGCCGCCTGCAGCTCTGCCCCCAGCGCCAGGAGCGCCAGCAGGAGGACGCCTCTCGCTCCCATGCTGCCGGAGCAGTGGTGCCGGCACGGAGCCGGCCGCGATTTAAAGTTGCTGCCGGCGGGCTGGGAATGGGAGGAAGCAGCTCCCAGGTGACCTGCGGGAACCTCCCACGCTTTGCTGTCATTCTGTTTTCTGGGGAGCCGCTCCAGTGCCTTCCTCCACCCCGAACCCAAGCCGGCCGCATGCCGCAGGGGGACAGGAGGAGGGAAGGGTCTGCTCCAATGAGATGGAGCTCTCTGGAGGGAGAAGCCTCAGGATTTCAAGTCAAGAGCTCAGCCAAGGTGAAGAGCACAGGAATCTGCCTTCAGACCACAGGTCCAAGCTGCTGGCCTTCACCAGAGACCCACAGTAAAAGACAAATTAAACACACTGCCACCTTTACTTCCCTTTTCTCTGATTTCAGGTTAAAGACTTATTAAATGTGGTTTAGATAACACAGTAAGCAGTACCTTCGATAATGAGTGACAACCCGTTTACACTGAGTTATTCTCACGTCACACAGGAGTGTTGGAATATAATTTTGTAATTTTATCCTATTTAGTTATTTCTTCCTGAATCATACACCAGCCAAAGTGCAATCAGCATTATAGGAGCACTTTAGGACTAGCCTGGCCAGGAGGCATCAGCACCACGCAAGAATGGGTCAGACTTGCTGGACCCAAAGACAAAGTTTAAACCTGTAGCTGTGGGGAGACTGAAATCACCTGTTTTGAGCTCAGTGTTATTTCTACAGTTGTAAGCAGTGTCCACTGCTTCCTGCCAGCACGGGAGAGGTGAAGGTCCTGCTCAGAGCGCTTTCCATCAGTCACACCGAGGTGATGCAGCAGCGGTGCAAGGGGCGAGACCTGCGAGCAGGAAGGTTCACTGCTGCGTGCTGCCAAACCTGTGTGGGAAGAGGGCTCGGTGCAAGAAACACACTTTAAGAACAGGTTTAATCCTCTCGTGGCCGTGACTCAATTCAGTGCCATTTCCACATGAACCGCCCGTGTCTGCCGCAGATCCGGTGTTCCACCCTGTGGCTCCGGGCCTCACCTCCCAGCCCAGTGCTTATCGTGTGCTGCTGGAGCAGGGCACCCCCCTGGAGCCTGCACTGGGGTGCTGGGCTGGGGCAGGTCATCGCAGAACTGATGCAGAGCTCACAGCATCCATGTAAATCCCCCTTCCGTGGGCAGCAGGGGCTTGCTCAGGCCCTTGTGAGTGCCCACCCAATCCCACAGACAGGGAACATCCCGAGGCTGACACGGACCGATGGGAAAGGGGTTCTCGGCATTCAGACCGCTGGGTTTCCTTCCCTCTCCTGTTCCCTCTCCCAGGCACCTCAGCCCCCTGAAACCCAGGCTCCTCTCCTGTGCCCTTTCTGTGAAGGCTGGTGCACTCTTACAGTGTTTGATGCTAACCAGAGATGTTAAAGGGTAAAGGTTACAGGACATGGTCCCATCCTCCTTCCCAATGCCCTGTGCTGCCTCTCACACTGTAGCCATGTGGTGACCTGCAAGGGCAGAGCCAACGCTGTCATGAGGAGCCAGGGAGGTAACAAAGGTTTTGCACGAGTCTTGCTGCCAAAACAGGATGTGGGATTGGGCTCAACAGGTTTCTGCTGCCACCAGAACCCGTCTGCACTGAGGGACAGACGGGACTTGTCTGAAGCATCTCTGTGCATCAGGAAAGCATTCAGGAAGCCTCAGAGGTGAAGCTGCTGTTGGTGCGTGGCAGGAACCCGCAGGCTGGTCTGTTCTGCACACCCACCACACAGATCCATGGAAAAAGTACCATTAAACAATGGGAGATGCAAACAAGCCATCTCGTCAGTTCTGTTGTCTATATTGATCATTGATCATTGTTCAGATCAGCTCTTCAAAGACATCCCCACCCCTGCCAGAACAGGGACTCCTTTAGTGAGAATTTGTTGCAGGACTTAAGTTTCTGTGAAAGCTTTTCCATGGATCTGATCCACATCTCACTTGATTCAAAGCAACAAGAGGGTTTCTCTGCTCACAGTGGGCACAGAGAGCAACCGACAGTGTCCTCTCAGCAGCACATGTACCCAGATGAGCCCTCTCTCCGCCGAGCTTTGCAGGTTGAACAGAACCACTTCTCCCACCTCCCATGACTTTCCACAGCCGTAGTTATTCTCCCTCCCATCTGGACAACGTCCCATCTTTGCCGTGAACAGTTTGGAAGAACCAGAACAAGCACGTGGTGAGCCAGGGCTGGCGGTGATGGAGCTGATGACAGCTCAACCGGCTCCACATCCGCAGGTCGGGTTTGTGCACCAGCCCGGTCCCCTCCCGTGCTGACGCAGCCCCGGCCAGGCCAGCAGGAAGGGACAAGGAGGGCAGGAGCCCAGCCTCTCCTCCCGCTCCCGGCTCTGGTCTCCCGCGGGTGCTGAGCGCGGCCGCTGCTGACAGCAGCAATGGGAGGACCCCGCAGGTCACGGTGCGGGGATGCAGCCACAGGCTGCAGTGACGCAGGCTGAGCCACCCACAGACCATCCTCTGGCAGCACCAGCACCGTGCCTGTGCCACAGACACTGAGCTGCAGCGCCCGGCAAAGCCAGTGGGGAAGGAGAAGCTCTTTGCCCTCAACGCAGCACAGTGCAGGGATTTCCCCTTGCACATGGAGCACACCAGGACCCCTCTGCTCGGCACCATCCTCTGTGCCAGTGGCTCTGGGTGCGGGGCAATGAGCGACCTCAATGCCTCAGGCTTTGGGAAATTCCATTTCTTTGGGTTATCTTCCCATCACCTTGGAAGGAACAAGGAAAAGCATTACCCACACGTCAGCAAATGCTTTATAACCTTAAATTGCTCTCCAGCTGACCCGATGGAAAAGCACAGGTCTAGAAAACGACAGACGAGTCATTTTGAATGCTCTGCACACATGGGACTAGGTGGGGAACTGCTGGAGTGTTTCCTCAGATACAGGGCAGGATTCCAGAGGTGAGGGGTCCGAGGACAGACACGGAGCTGCTACAACCGGAACAGGAACGAGCCTGGGCTTCTGTTCCGGACAGAAAACACCGCCCCAGTGACCGCACGGAGCGAGGCAGGAGGAGCCCGCCCGCTGCTGCCGCCGCCATCCCTTGGGCAGGGTCAGAGCGCGACGGCTGCACCCGGGACCGGCCCCGCTCCCGCTCCCGGACGGAGGCCTGAAGGGTTCGGGTTCTGTGCGAGCTGACGGCCCCCCCCCGGGCAGCGGCGCTGCTGCAGAGCCGAGGGTTCCCTCAGTGCTGCGGGCTCGTACCGGGGCCTGAGCCCGCTCCCCGCGTGTGTGAGAGGGGAAGGGCTCACACAAGGCACGGGGGCGGACGGGGCTGCTGCGCTCAGACCGGGGCAGCTCAGCCCCGGCCATGCCGCGGCGGCGGGACCGAACCACGTGTCCCCGGGGCTCCCAGCTCCGCGCTCCCGCAGCGCCTCGCCCCGCCCAGCCCCGCGCCGTTGCCATGGCACCGCATCACTTCCGGCGCGCGGGCTCGGCGGCGCGGGGCGGTGACGCGCGCGGGGCGCCGCGGTTCCGGTGGCGCGGTGCGGGGCCGGGGCTGGGACCGGGATCGGGGCCGCCATGGGTGCCGCCCGCGATGCGGAGCAGCAGCAACCGGGGCCGGGCGAGGCGGGCGCGGACGGCGCCGAGGAGCTGCAGGTGAGCGGGGGCGGAGGGGCCGCGCGGGGCGGGGCGGGCGGAGCGGGGCGGGGGGGCTGCGGCTGACGCGTGTGCCCCGCAGAGCCCCTGGAACATCATGATCAAGCACCGGCAGGTGCAGCGGCGCGGCCGGCGCTCGCAGATGACCACCAGGTACGGGCGGACGGAGCCGCGGGATCGCGGCCGGGCCAGGCTGCGGCCGGGCCGCGTCCCCCGCTGACCCCTCCGCCCGCAGCTTCACGGACCCGGCCGTGTCCATGGACCTGCTGCGCGCCGTCCTGCAGCCCAGCATCAACGAGGACATCCGCGGCGTCTTCAACAAGTACATGAAGGTGAAAGCCGCGGGACGGGCCTGCAGCGGTCGTGGGTGCCCGTGGGCCCGTGCTGAGGCTGCTCGGGCGCTAACCTGCTCCTCTCCAGTTCTTCCAGAAGGCAGCCATCAACGTGCGCGATAACGTCGGGGAGGAGGTGGACCCGGAGCAGCTCATCCAAGAGACGTGTCGGAGCTGCCTGGAGCAGGTGAGAGGAGCGAGGGGCTCCACACCCTCCGCAGAGCATGCACCTGGCTGGGATGTGTCCCTTGTAACAGCTGGGGGAGCATCTGGAGCCCTCACATGGTGTAGAACCACAGACTGGTTTGGCTTGGAAGGGACCTTAAAGATCATCCAGTGCCACCCCCTTGCCACAATGCCAGGTGCCCAGACTCTGTCAGGCTCAGATCATGCTTTTGCATCTTGCTGCACTGTGCAGTGGTGCTCTGAAAGCAGAGCTGTTACGGGGCTGTCGGGCAGATACATGAGAGAGGGGGCATCAGGCAGGTCCCCCCTGGACCCAGAATGGGGTAACCTTTCTTCCCCTTCCTGCAGGCCAAACTGCTGTTCTCAGATGGGAAAAAGGTTGTTCCCAGGCTGCCCCATGAGCAGACAGTGCCAAAGGTAAAAGTCGTTGTTCCCAAAGGCCTGAATGACTTGTGAGAGCTGGGAGGAGGAGGAGGGTTGAAATCGCTTACTCTCCTGCCTCTTCCTGTGGGGGGTAGAGCTGGGGGCGTGTGAGTCTGGGAGGGGGGGACCTACAAGGCCCAGAAATGGCAGCTGCTTCCCATGGTTTGGTGCTTCTCACCGAGGCGGGGTGGGATCAGCCTTTCCCCACAAAGGGAGAGCGGTGGCTGGAGAAGGGCCCTGCTCACCCCACTGCTGCTGCGCTTCCAGCGAGCCCGACAGATGGACGAGGAGCTGAACCGTCGAGGGAGCCCCATTCCCAAGAAGGTAGGGGCGTTTCTGCACGGGCACAGGCAGCTCCTGTGCTGCCTCGGGGGAGCCTGTTCCCCTGCCAGCACTGCTGCTGGTGACAGAAGGAGCAGCTTCCCTGGGGGGGTGCAGCCGAGCGGGTTCTCAGCTCCCAGAGCTGAGTCACTGGAGGATTTCTTCCACACAGAGAAAGGGGCGGCCTCCAGGACAGAGCCTCCTGAACGATCGCGGGGCCTCCGGCGCGGCTGCGTGAGTACCAGAAGGGGTCCGAGCTGGAGCCCTGGTTTGGGAGCGTGGGCAGGAAATGGGGCGGCACAGATCGGGAGGACAGGAAGGCTGTGGTCTGCTCCCCCTCCTGCGGGAAGGAGAGGTGCAGGGGGTGCCCAGGAGGAGGGGGGTGGGTTGAGGAAGTGGCGTTAAACAGGCCTGGAGGGGTGGAAAGGCCCACGGGGACTGTTTGGAGTGAGCAGCTTGAGGGTGGTGGTGGGGTCGTGGCTGCCAGGGAGAGAACATGCAGCAAAGGTGAGGGTCTGGAGCAAGGACTGAGCCCTGGCTCCGGTGGGGGCTGTGCTGGTCCCACAGGGACTCGTTCTCACTGCATTTTCCTTCCCCTCAGGTGGAAGCTCAAAGTCTCTGAGCCTGTGAGAAGGGATGGACCAAAGGTATTGGCTGGCCATGGCTGCTGGGTTCACCCTCTCCTCCCCTTTGTTCCCACCAGCAGAGCCCTGCTGCTGCAGGAGCAGAGGACAGCACTGAGCTGTGCTCTGCCCCACGGGCCCCTGTGGCACAGAGAGAAGCAAGAAGAGGAGCGAAGTGCCTGGAGGCCTTTGCTTGCCTCCCCCAGGCTAGCCTTTAGCTCTATGGTGTGGGGCTGCTGTTAGGAGACCTGGGGAGAGCAGCAGCAGCCAGGAGGATCCCACAGGGGTTTCCCAGCAGGGAAACAGCTTAAATCAGCCCAGGGGGATTGTAACTTCCCTCCTCTGTGGGAGTCTGGAGGTCTGTGTCCAGCTCCCAGGCTGGGGCCTGTTTGAGGTACCCCACCAGAGAGCTGAGCTCGTGGAGCCTGGGCCATCACCAGCCTCATTTCTAATGTTGCCCCTTTTCCAATTGCTCTGTAGTGGGATCCATCCCGACTGACTGAAACCACAACCTTTGTGCTGGGATCTCGAGCAAACAAGTAAGGAGCGGCCCTGTCGATGGAGGGTGGTGTCTCCAAGGCAGGAGCCCGTAAGACCCTCCCGTCACTTCGCTTCTCTGCCTCAAAAGCAGCAGGAAGGGCCTGGGGAGGAGAGAGGTGTCCCTGTGCTCCACAACCGCCCTCGCGCACTGTGACACCTCTCCTGCTCCTCTTCCAGGGCTCTCGGGATGGGAGGAACAAGAGGGCGACTCTACATCAAGCATCCCCACCTCTTTAAGGTCAGATGCCGCAGCAGAACACTTCCTTCTTTGGGGCTGGCTTGGAATCAGTTTCCAGTGGGAGTGGGGAGCCCGTGCTTTGGATCGCTTGTGTTTCCGCCCCACCATGCCCCTGTGGTTTGTGCTGGAGCACATCCTGCAGTCCAGCCGGGGCACTGGACGCCAGTTGAGGGCCTAGCGCAGCCTCTACCTGATGGGTCTGCCTGGAGCCAGGCCCTGCGGCTGGAGGAGCCAGAGCCCTTGCAGGGAGCGTTCGAGTGGGTGCAGCGTCCCGGCAGGAGGGGGGTCAGAGCGGGAGGGTCTGTTCCTGTGTTCAGCCAGGTCCTTGCTGCTCTATTGCAGTACGCAGCCGACCCGCAGGATAAGCACTGGCTGGCAGAGCAGCAGCACATGAGGGCCACGGGGGGCAAGATGGTGAGTACAGCCGGGCTCCGGGCTCCTGCAGCCGTCAGGGACCGCACAGAGACCTAGCGCAGGGCCAGGACAGCGGCTCTGCCAGGACACCAGGGCAGGGCATGCGAGCAGAGGCGCACCCGGTGGTCCAGCCACAGCCCCTTGGGATCCGGGTGCCCAGGAGGGCAAGTCATGCCATCTGGGGAGGGGGGACATGGCACTGCCCTCGCCATGTGTGGCAACCCTGAGGTGTCCTCCCATTGTGCCGCAGGCCTACCTCCTCCTCGAAGAGGACATCCGGGATTTGGCTGCCAGTGACGATTACCGGTGAGGAGTGACCCAGATGTGGCCATGCTGTGGGGCTGGGGGCTGCTGCCCTGGGGACTCCAACACTGTGGGGAGACTGTCCTGGAGAGGCCATGCCCCATGCTGCATGGGGTGCTCGGTGCTGGCTGGGTGTGGGTGCTGGGGTGTTGGGCTTGGTGGTAGCTGGGAGTCCATGGTGGGTGCTTTGGGTCCAGGCTCAATGCTGGCTGGGGTCTGGGCTTGGTGCTGGAGGTGCCAGTGTCCGCGGTGGACGCTGGGGTCCATGCTGGGTGCTCCCATCTCACCCCATCTCCCACAGGGACTCGGTGGACCTGCGGCTGGAGGAGCTGAAGCCGTTCGTGCCGCCGGCCTGGATGACCGAGAAGATGCAGAAGCACATGGAAACGCTGCGGCGCGGGGCGGACGCGCCGCCCCCCGAGAGCCCCCCGGAGCCCTGAGCCCCGCCCCCTGCACCCCAATAAAAGCCGCTTCGCACTCGCCTCCGCCTCCGAGGAAAGGGGATCGGGCCCTTTAAGAGCCGGCCGGGACCGCGGCTCCGCGCTCGCGGGGCGGTGGCTGAGCAGCCGCTCGCCGTTACCGTGGCATCGCATCCCCGGCGAGCGCCGATTGGCCAGGTCGAACTGGGCTGCGCGCTGATTGGCAGAGGGGACGCACGTTGCGTACATTCAAACGGGGCGCGGGGCGGGACCGGACGCGGCGATCGCTGAGAGCAGCGTCCAGCGAAGGGCTGCGCACCGGGACCCGCTGGAGAGGCCCCGCACCGGGCACCCCCACACCAGGACCCGTGCACCGGGAACCCCTGCACCGGGAACCCCTGCACCGAGGCACCCACCGGGGCCCTGCCGCTGCTGGTCCGAGTCGTGCGCAGCCGCAGGAGGGGGGAGCGGAGGGGGGCCCGGTGCGGAGCCGCCCGGGAGCGGGACCCGCGTCCACCGCCCGCGAACCGGGGGGCAGCGGCGGCCGGAGCCGCCATGGCCTCGCAGAACGCGGATCCCGCCGCCGTGTCCCGCAAAGCGGCTGAGGCGGGGGCCACGGCGGCCCGCGGCGCGGTGGGGAAGAGGTGAGGAGCCGGGGCTGGGCGGGGGCCGGGGCTGGGCGGCTCTACGGGACCGGGCCGGTAACGTGTGCTTCCCCCGCAGGCTGCAGCAGGAGCTGATGGCGCTCATGGTGAGTGGGGGCCCGGCCTGGGGAGGGGGTATCGGTGTCACGGGGCCGAGCCGGGGTGGGGGTTCCCGGTCGGCCCTCACGTGCTGCCCCCCCAGATGTCCGGTGACAAAGGCATCTCTGCCTTCCCCGAGTCCGACAACCTCTTCAAGTGGATCGGGACCATCAACGGCGCCGTGGGCACGGTGAGCAACTGGGACCTGGCACAGGGGGACCCCGGGCTCCCCCAGGTCTGTGCTCCTCTGACTCCCTCCTGCCCGCAGGCCTACGAGGAGCTGCGGTACAAGCTGTCACTGGAGTTCCCCAGCGGGTACCCCTACACCGCACCCACGGTGCGGTTCCTGACCCCCTGCTACCACCCCAACGTTGACACCCAAGGCAACATCTGCCTCGACATCCTCAAGGACAAGTGGTCGGCCCTCTACGACGTCCGCACCATCCTGCTTTCCATCCAGAGCCTGCTGGCAGGTGGGTCCCACGCTGCCGGGGGGGGGCCGGGGCTCAGGGGGCCGGGTGCCCCCCCACTGACCCCACTGCTGTCCCCAGAGCCGAACATCGAGAGCCCCCTGAACACACACGCTGCTGAGCTCTGGAAGAACCAAACCGGTGAGTGCCTGGGGCAGAACACCCCCCCCACCCCCTGCACCCCCCGTGTCCCGCCCTGTGTGCCCCCAGGGTGCGCAGCGGTGCAGCCCCTGGCCCCGCTGCGGCCGCCCCTCAGCCCCGCGCTGCTCCTCTCCTCAGCCTACAAGAAGTACGTGCGGGAGACTTACGCAAAGCAGACCCACAGCCAGGACAAGTGACCGGCAGGACCACGGCCCCCCCGCCCCGGCCCCTGCCCCTGCCCCTGCCCAGCCGCTGCCCCGGCTTCTGTATCATAGCTATTATTAAATTAATGTTGCAGCCTGAGCCACGGTTGATGTATAAATAAAAGCATGTTTAGAACTGGCCTCCTGGGGGCTCCCTTGCAGCCGGGAACCCCTGAGCCCTGCCAGCCCCTCTGCAGCTGTGGGAGGAAAGGAAGGACCCTGGTCCTTGTGGGGTGAGAGGGGCTCTATTGACCCTTGAAGGGCCTGAAGCTGGTTCCATTCCCTCAGCAGGGTGGGGGCATCGCTTGCCCTGGCTGGGGAGTACACAGGGTCCCATCCCCTGCTCTGTGACACCGGAGGGTGCAAGGGGGGTGCTGGTCCTGCCTCCCCTGCACCCGCTCAGAGCACCCTGCAGCAGGGCCCAGGGTGAGGGCCCCCCTGCCCCGACACGGCCGCGGTGCTGCCTGTCCCCGCCGACTGCGTGGCCTCCACCGTCCACAGGGGGATGTTGGCTCCGCTCTCCATCTCCGCCAGCGTGGCCCTCACTTGCTCGATCTCCTCCTCCAGGCATGGGGCAGCCGGGGGCTGCGCGGGCCCCCCCCCTCGCCGGTTCCCCAGCCCGGTGCGCAGGGGGGCAGCGCCGTCCCCCTGCAGGGAGAAGAGCCGGCAGAGGCGGTGGGCCCGGTGCAGGTCCTGCAGGAACAGCTCCAGCGCCGACAGGAAGAGCACCCACAGCCGCTCCAGCTCCCGGCGCTCCTCGGGGCTCCCTGGTGCCTGCCGCAGCCCCGCCAGCAGAGCGCAGCGCAGCCCTGCGGGACGAGGCCGCTGAGCCCCGGTGACCCCGGGCACCTCCGCCGGCCCCGCTGTGGGTGCGGGGGGGGCACTGCAGCCGCTATGGGGTGCAGCAGCCCCCTCTTACCAGAGCTGAGCTCGCGGGCCTCCGCGCTCCTCCTGCGCCGCTCCTCCCGCAGCCGGGGGCCGTCGGCGCTGCCCCCCAACTGCAGCACCAGCTGCCGGTGCCCGGCCATGGCCCTGCACAGCGTGGCCTGGGCTGCCGCACACGTTCCCGTTGCTCCCCGCATGCGGCACGCGTCGGCTCTCCTCAGTGCCATCGTGGGCCGTGAGGCTGGGGCAGGCTCCAGCCCCTCCACGGTGGCCCCTGGCTCTGGGCAGCGAGCCCCCGTCCCCGCAGCTGCATGGTGCTGCTCTCGCTGTCCCCACATGGGCTGGGTGCTCCTCGTCCCCTGCTGCGCTTCTGGCTGCAGCGAGAGGCAGGGAGGAGCCAATCCCTGGGGAGCAGCGATGCAGGCCGGGCGGGCACGGCACGTCCCAGCACAGCAGCTCCCCCGGTGCCTTGACCCCGCGGGGAGGGGGGAACCAGTGCCCCCCCCCTTGCCCCCAACCCCGGTCCTCTGCACCCTCCTGTGCAGAGCACAGGGTTCCTGGTGTAGCGCTGGTGCTGGAGGCTCCCCAGATCCCCCCGGATGGGCAGGAGCAGCCGCAGGGCCCCCAGTGCTGCCGTGTGAACCCGCTGCTCCGCATGGAAACTCTGAGCTCAGCGCTGGCGCGGGCCCAGCCTCCCGTGAGAACCCCGGCTCTGTCCTGCCCTCCGGCCCCACAGCCTGAGCGTGACCAACGCAGGCACCCACCAGAGCCATCCCCAGCCCCACGGCCTGAGCGTGACCAGCGCAGGCACCCACCACAGCCATCCCCAGCCCCACAGCCTGAGCGTGACCAACGCAGGCACCCACCAGAGCCATCCCCAGCCCCACAGCCTGAGTGTGACCAACGCAGGCACCCACCAGAGCCATCCCCAGCCCCACAGCCTGAGTGTGACCAACGCAGGCACCCACCAGAGCCATCCCCAGCCCCACAGCCTGAGCGTGACCAACGCAGGCACCCACCAGAGCCATCCCCGGCCCCACAGCCTGAGCGTGACCAACGCAGGCACCCACCAGAGCCATCCCCAGCCCCACAGCCTGAGCGTGACCAACGCAGGCACCCACCACAGCCATCCCCAGCCCCACAGCCTGAGCGTGACCAACGCAGGCACCCACCACAGCCATCCCCAGCCCCACAGCCTGAGCGTGACCAACGCAGGCACCCACCACAGCCATCCCCGGCCCCACAGCCTGAGCGTGACCAACGCAGGCACCCACCACAGCCATCCCCGGCCCCACAGCCTGAGTGTGACCAACGCAGGCACCCACCACAGCCATCCCCAGCCCCACAGCCTGAGCGTGACCAACGCAGGCACCCACCAGAGCCACCCCCGGCCCCACAGCCTGAGCGTGACCAACGCAGGCACCCACCAGAGCCATCCCCAGCCCCACAGCCTGAGCGTGACCAACGCAGGCACCCACCACAGCCGTCCCCACCGGGGGGCAGCGCAGGGGCCGTGGGGCCGCAGCCCCCTCCCGGTGTGAACCCGGTTGACCCCGCACCAGCAGCTCGAGCCTCCCCCCTTTTATTGAGGATCACACTGAAACCGCGCGGGGAGGAAGAGCTCGGCCGTGGCAGCGGGGCCGGCGCAGGGCAGGGCCAGGGGCTGGTGCTGTGGAGCTGCTGCTCCCTGGCTGCTGGTGCAGCGGGGCTGGGCCCAGCCGCCGGCCCGAGGAATGTCTGGTCCTTTACTGCACCCCCTCCATCATCTTCAGGAACTCTGCAAGAGAGCAGCGGGCTCAGCCCCCGGCCCGGCCGGGGCGCACAGCACCGGGGCTCAGCCACGGCCAGCGCTCACCGTCGAAGTCGATGCGGCCATCGTTGTTCTTGTCCGAATCCTTCATCATGTCCTCAATGTCCTCATCGGTGACGGGCTCCCCGGTGGCCCTCAGGATCTCACCCAGCTCCTCGATGTCGATGAACCCGTCCGCGTTCCTGCAGCAGGGTGAGGGCAGGATGTGCCCAAAGCAATAATAAGCGTGTTTTGCCCAGAGAAGCTGTGGCTGCCCCATCCCTGGCAGTGCTCAAGGCCAGGTTGGACACAGGGGCTTGGAGCAAGCTGCTCCAGTGGAAGGGGTCCCTGCTCATGGCAGGGGTTGGAGCTGGGTGATCTTAAGATCCTTCCCAAGCCAAACCATTCTGATTCCATGTGACCCCTGCAGGCAGGATGGGGCAGCCATCGCATCGCCCCCACTCACCGGTCGAACACACGGAAGCAGTTGGCCAATTCCTCCTCAGACTTGCCCTTGGCATCCTCTTTCATCTGGCGCACCATCATCACCAGGAACTCCTCAAAGTCGATGGTGCCGCTGCCTGGGGGGAGAAAGCCAAGCGTGGGTCAGGCGCCCACCCAGCACCAGCACCAGCACCTCCTGCCCAGCACCCAGCGCTGCTCACCATCCTCGTCCACCTCCTCTATGATGGCATCCAGCTCCTCCTTTGTGGGGTTCTGCCCCAGCATCCTCATCACCGTCCCCAGCTCCCTGGTGCTGATGTCCCCGCCTCCATCAGCATCGAACATGTCGAAGGCGGCCTTGAACTCTGTGGGGAGAGGGTCAGTGCCGGGCAGTGCACGGGATGGCACCGGGGCAGGGCCTGGCCCCGCGCCTCCCTTGGGGCTGGTCCCTCTCCCCCGTGCTCACCCGCGATCATCTCCTCGCTGAGGAAGGCGCGAGCCTCCGCCTGCTGGTCCGTCTGCAAGGCACAGGAGCGGGCTCAGCGCAGGCACACTCGGTGCACTGGGGAGCCCCGCGCACACCGCAGCCAGTGGGGCAGGATGGGGGCAGAGCCCATCACAGCCAGGGGACGGTGCCAGGGCAGCTCCGGTGCCGCGTGGGCCCCTCTCATGGCAGTGGGTGCTCGGGCCCCTCCGTGGCGCAGTGGTCACGGTCCCCATGCGCATCCTTGGCATCCCGGGCACGCGGTGCTATTTTGGGGGTCTCCTCAGCTCCCCTTATAGGGATCAGTGGAGCCGCGACTGCCGGCACCTGTCGGTCCCGATCGAGTTTCTCCTGGAGGCGCAGGCTGGGGCCGGGGCGATGCCATGTCCCATGACCCTGCACTCGCCTTTCAGCCACCGCTGCCACCGCACTGCCCCGAGCTCCGGCCAGGGCTGAACTCGCGGCCCCACGCACCCACACCCCCCGGGCACCCAGGCAGCAGCACGGCCATGGGGGCCCTGCACCGCCCTCACACCTCTGTGCCCTTGCTGCTGAGCTTGGCCCGGCCCCGGGCTCCATCTCCCCACCACCATCCACAGAGGCACCTCAGCAGCCCCGAGTCCCGGGGCACCCAGCACCCCCGGGCTTGCCCCAGCACCCAGCACATGCCATGCAGCACACGGCACGCGGCAGCTCTTACCATTGAAGGCATTTTTGCTGCTTCCCTCCCCGAGGGAGTCACCACCTCCTGCAGCAGAACCCCCCAGCAGCTTCCTGGTGCCGCTGGCACCCCAATTTGTAGCGTCCCACGGGGCTGGCGTGGCCCCAGCCGCTGGCCCCGCGGCCCCAGCAGCCTATCAGCTCCGCGGTGGCAATCCGGCCCCGCTCATTGGCAACCGGCGCATTTTACCTAATTTAGCCAAAGCGTCATTGGCCAGAGCTGGGGATTAAGCGTGGCTCTGGAGCTGGGGTGGAAATTCAAGCCCTCCGGGCAGGGACACCGGAGCCTGGGCAGGAGGACGGCTCTGCCCCCCCCTCCCCCCCCCCGCCCAGAGCAGCTCAGCGAGGAGGGGGTTAAAAATAGCCCCAGAGCCGCCAGCATCCCTCAGACGAGGGGTTCAGGACACCCCCGCCCCACACATCCACCCCAGGACAGGGGTAGGGACCATTGCCCCTCCCCTGCCAAGCCCACAGCCCCCTGGGGCAGGATCCCAGGAGGGGGCCAGGCTCCCCTGACACAGCCCCATCCCCACACAGTCACCCCCTTCACTCCACACGCTCCCGGGGGCTCCAGCCTCACTCCACCGCCTGTGCCCCTCCTTCAGCCCCATTTTCTGCTCGGGTGGGCCAGGGCACAGCCGTGCTGCAGCACCCACCCCAGAGGAGGAAAGGTCTCCAGCAGGACCTGGCCCATGGAGCCCCTGTGGGGCACAGAGCATGCTCACCCCCCGCCGTACGGGGTCCCCAGACCATTGGCACCTGAGCCCGGAAAAGGCCCTGTCTCTCCGTGCCACTGGGAGAGTGGGAAATGTGCCCAGGTGCCTCTCTGAAGGCTGTGCCCTCACACAGCGCAGCCCATGCCAGCCACCTCTGCCAGGGCTGGCCACGGCTGGTGGCCTTGGGGACATGCTGGCCAAGTGGCCCGTGCCCCGTGGTGCTCCGAGGGGGCTGCACGAGAGCTGGGGGCTGCAGAGGGGTCAGGCAAACAGCACCCTGTCCAGGAGGTTCTCTGGCTCCTGGTTCTGCTGGGAGCACCCATTCCGGGATGGGTGCTGGGGAAGGCACCAGCACGGCCTCTGCAAAGTCCCACCCTGCCCTGCAGCCAGCAGGGAGGGAGCTGGGAGGGGTTGGGACCAGTGGGCACCGGGTGCTGAAGCCCCCCAGCCCCGCCGGTGCCGTGGAGAGCCCGGGCAGGATGCGGGCTGCTGGAGCAGGGGCAGAGCGACGGCAGCAGCTGGGCCGGTTCCTCGGTATTAATAGACATTCCCAAGGAAGCGGCGAGGAGGGAGCAGGCACGGCGCTAAATAAGGCAGCGGAGCCGCGCGGGGCACGTAGCGAGGCCGGACGGGGAAAGGGCCTGGGGAGCCCGGGCAGCGGGGAACGACCCTAGCCGGGGGTGCGGCACCGCGGAGCCGGCTGCAGGTACCGGGGTGATGGAGCACCGGGACACAGGGGCTATGGGGGGCCGGGATGAGCGGGGGACCCCGGCGGGGCTGCGGGAGCGGTGACCGGTTGGGGTCGGGCCGTGCCGGCCCCGCTGCCGCGATCCGGGTTCCAGGCGGAGGCGGAGCCGCGCAGGGAGGATCCCGGGACGCGCCGCAGCCATCGCTCGGCACCGCCCGGCGCGGGCAGCGCGGTACGGACCGGCCGGACCGGGCGCGGAGGGGCGCGGGGAGGGTGCGGGAGCGGGCCCGGGGCTTCACCGGGGGTCCCGGGGCCGAGGGGTCCCAGGGCCGGGGGGGGCAGCGGTGGGCAGCCCAGCCCGGTGCGGCCGCAGCCCCCGTCCCGCCGCGTTGGGGTGACCGGTGTGACCCCCCCGCAGCCGGCCCGCCGGGATGGCCGCCCGCATCCTGCACCGCCTGCGGCACGCGCTGTCCGGGGAGGGTGGCCGGGAGGAGCGGGCGTGCGGCAGCGCTGAGGCCGAGGACTGCCCGGAGAGCTCGGAGCTGGAGGATGACACCGAGGGGCTATCGACGCGCCTCAGCGGCACCCTGAGCTTCACCAGCCACGAGGAGGAGGAGGACGAGGAGGAGGAGGAGGAGGGTGCAGGAGAGGAGCTGGGGCAGCCGCTGCAGCCGGCGGCAGCGGGTGCCGAGGACGGAGGTAGGAGCTGTGGGGCCGGGGCGGCGGCACCCGGGGGGGGCCCGGGCGGTGGAGGGTGCCGCGGGCTGACACCCGTCTCCCGGCGCAGAGTGGGGCCCTGCGGCCGAGCGTGCCGGCGGCAGCAGCCTCCTGACCCGGCAGCTGCAGGAGCTGTGGCGCAGGTCCCGGGGCAGCCTGGCACCGCAGCGCCTGCTCTTCGAGGTCACCAGCGCCAGCGTGGTCAGCGAGCGCTCCTCCAAGTACGTGGTGAGTGAGCCCGGCGGGGCTGTGCGCAGGGTGATGCGGGGCGGGCACGGGTCCTGTCCCCCCCTGGGGCAGGGGTCCCCCGGGCTGGTGCTTATTTCTCTCTGTCTCTCCCCGTGCTGCTTGGACGGTGCTGGCGGCTCAGATGAGCCTCAGGTAACTATCGCTGATGGGTGCTGCGGCTGCTCCCTCCTGCCCGGGCAGGCTCCGCCACGGCTGTGCTCTGGCTCTAACGCCCGGCTCCCCCCGCAGCTCTACACCATCTACCTGATCCGCTCCGGCCGGTTTGACAAGGCCCCCGCCGCCATTGCTCGGCGCTACTCGGACTTTGAGCGGCTCAACCACCGCCTGCGCTGCCGCTTTGGCTGCGACATGGCCGGCATCGCCTTCCCCAGGAAGAGGCTGCGCCAGAACTTCACCGCTGAGACCATCGCCAAGCGGAGCCGAGCCTTCGAGCAGTTCCTGTCCCACCTGCACTCCATCGCCGAGATCCGCCGCTCCCCTGAGTTCCTCGAGTTCTTCTTCCTGCAGGACCTGCAGGCTGCGCAGCGCCTCACCTGCACCGGCATGTACCGCGAGGCCCTGGCTACCTGGGCCAATGCCTACCGGCTGCAGGACCGGCTCGGGGCCTGCAGCTCCAGCCGCTTCCTGCTGACGCTGGCCGGGCTCGCCGTCTGCCACCAGGAGCTGGACGAGCTCGGCGAGGCCCACGGGTGCTGCGAGCAGGCGCTGCAGCTGCTGGAGGCTCAGGGCAGCCACCCCCTCCTGGGGCCCTTCCTGCAGGCGCACGTCCACCTCGCCTGGAAGGTGGGCAAGGACAAGCGGCGCTCGGAGGCCCGGCTGCAGGACCTGCGGGAGGCCGGGCCACCCCTGCAGCAGCAGCCCACCCTCAAGGAGTGCCTCATCAAGGAGCCTCTGGAGTGAGCATCCCACCGGTGCCGTGGTGAATGGAGGGACGGGGAGCAGTGAGGCTGCTGGCACCGGTGGGCCAGGGCAGGGAGGCAGCGCTGTGGTCCCGCAGCAGCACAGCCCATGCCTGGGAGCTCCCAAAAAAGCACTTTCTCTGTGGTTCATCCGCCCCATCCCATGGGGCCGGGCACTCACCAACGCCCCGGCACTGCCGGGAGCTGGCTCGAGGGGCTTCGGGGACGGACGAGACCTCAGCTGGGTCTTACTGGCACTGCAGAAGGGAGCGGGAAGGCGTCTGCAAAGTCCAGGGCTCTCGCCAAGAGCTTCCCATAAAACTCGCGTAAGGACTTTATTAAATAAAGCCTCAGTAGGAAGCAGAGCAAAGCGGCCGTGGGGTCTGTTCAGCTTCACCTCCCCCTGGGCACCACCAGAGGGACACCTCATGCTGCCCACTCTGAGGTGGGAGCTGCTCCGTCCCCTTGCCCTGCTCCCAGCCCTGGGCAGGAGACAGGGTGAGCAGAAGCAACGCCTGAGGTGCCCGGGCACAGCAAGGGCAGAAGAAGTGAGAAGGGGAAGCAGAAGCTGCATGCGCCGCAGGAACACTTTCACCGGCGGCAGGGGCAGAGCCGGCCCTGGCACCTCCCACCCCCCCCCAGAGAGGTCCCCTGGGGTGAGCACGGTGCCACGGGGACAAACTCCAGAGGCCAAGCCGAGCTCTTCACCACCAGCTTGCTTTATTGCAGGTGAAAGGTGCTGATCATATAGTGCGGTTCTGTGCTGTGCTGTTGGTGACAGATGTCTGGGGGTCCCCATCCATCGCGGAGGGCCTCAGGCACCAGCACTCCCGCAGTGCTGGATCCAGCCCGTGCTTCAAGGCTCCTTCCTGCTGCCTGGGTCCTGCTCTGCAGCATCAGGTTTGGTCCCGGGGTCCCCCTCTCAGAATGCCCAAGCCCTGCCCTGTGGCGCTCCTCAGCTACAGCTTGCTCTGGTTTGGCATTTCCTGCACCCTGATGACTCCCTCCTGCGCGCAGCTGACAGCCAGGACCCCGTCCCTGCGCCACAGCCGGCCCTGCACCAGGCCCCGGCACCCGCCTGCAGAGAGGCCCCCTCAGACCACAGCTCCTGGGGCAGGCAGAGCCAGTGTCTGCCATGCAGGGTCCCAGGGACACGGTGAGCACTCACCAGCCCAGGGGCTCTCGCACTCGTACAGCATCCAGTGGTCCGCTCGGAAGGGCGCATGGAACCACATGGAATGGTCAAGGGACACCATGAGCTTGATGTGGTACTGCCGGTGCGGTAGCAGGGCCGTGCCCAGGAAGGCATAGTCGGAGATGTAGGCAGCCACGCAACAGTGCACCTTCATGTCAGTCTCTCCTGCAAAGCAACCGGCTCTGCCCGTCCCGGCCAGCAGCTCTGCTTCCCGAGAGCCTGGCACAGCCGAGATGCTCCTCTAGAGCCGCTGCCCTGGCCGTGCTGCCAGGGGAAGCCCATCATGGCTGAGCATGGCACAGGGCCCTGCTCCATGCTGCGGCACCTGCACCTGCATCGCAGCCTTGAAATCCACAGGCTCGGGGTGCAGGCAGCCTCTGAACCACAACCCTCGGGTGCTCTGCAGCATGAGCTGGAGCTTGCGCTCGAGCCCTCGGCTCGGGGGGCAGCCGAACACCCTCCTGGCAGGACCCACCTATGTAGCCTCGTGCTCGCACCCAGAAGAACTGCTTTGGCTCCTGCGGCTCCAAGCAGAACGTGTCCGGCGGGTTCACGGGTTTGATATCAATTGGCACATCTTCGGCTTGAATCTTGGTGAGGTGCTTTCTGTATCTCTCTGCCAAGTTAGGATTCCTGTAGGCCAACACAGAGAAGTGAGGTTAGTGCCAGGCAGGGCAAGGGCACGTCCCTGGCAGCGGCTTCAGCCCAGGGCACACTCCTGCCCTGCCCTGCCTCTCTGCTCCCTTCCCACGTGTATGTGGGAATTCCTTGGGCAGTCATCCCAATCCTCTCCTGCCCGCTTTCGCCCCTGCACCTCCCCGAGCCCCGGGCACAGGAATGGCATCCCCGGGGTGCCCCTTCCACCCCACTCACTGCAGGAACTTCTGGATGAGCTCCTCTTGTGTCAGCAGGTCCTCGGGGGGGGGCACAGAAGGCATGGTGAACTGGTGCTGCACTGGGCTCCCCTGGGAGAGCTGGAAGGAGGCCTGGCAAGTGAAGATGGGCTTTCCGTGCTGGATGGCCTTCACGGAACGAACAGAGAAGCTCTTCCCGCTGCGGGTCCGCTCCACCTCGTACAGCACCGGCACCTTGGGGTCCCCTGGGGCAGCAATGGGACATCCTGCCACTGGGCCACCAGCACCGCACATGGGACGTGACCTACTGAGGCCAAGCCCTGGGGCCGTGCGGGCAGTGCCACAACCCCCTGCGTGCTGCGCTGCACCAGCTCACCCTGCGGGCCCCACCGCGGCACTCACCGCACAGCCCGGCCCCGTGCGCGCTGACAGCCGCTCACCCGCCCGCTCACCGCACCCCTCCCGCCCCGGCCCCGGCCCACCTGCCCGCACGAAGTAGCAGTGCAGCGAGTGGACCTGCTCGTCGCGGCTGACAGAGCGGGCGGCCGCCACCAGGGCCTGCCCCACGATCTGCCCGCCGAAGAGCCGCTGCGTGGCGGGCACCCAGTGGTGCCGGCCCCTGCGGGGAGAAGGCGGCGGCGGTGAGAGCGGCTGCGGCGGCAGCGCGGCCCGGCCCCGGGCTCGGCGGCGCCGCGCACCTGAAGAGATCGAGCTCCAGGCGCTCCAGGCTCAGCACGCTGGTGATGAGCGCGCTCCGCAGGTCCCCGGGCGGCGGCCGCCCCGAACCCAGCCTCGAACCCGCGCCAGCCCCGTCAGCGTCTTGCGGCGCCCCCATCTCCTTCGCCAGCGGCGCCAGGAGAACACCATCGCCCGGCCCGCGCGGAGGGTCAGGCAGCACCGCCCACCCGCGGGGCGGGGCCGCCAGCTGATTGGGCATCCTAGCTGTCAGTCAAGTGGGTGTGACAGAACGCTCGGCGCTGTTTGGGTCCTTTCCTGCCAATCAGAAACTGGCGTCTCTGATTGGTCAGATCCAGGGTGAGGGCGGGGCCGCAGTCGGTTTAAGGCAGGGAGCGCGCGTGTCGCTGCAGCTGTCGGTGCGGCACCTGGGGAGGTGCCTTAGGCTCCTGCTCCTGCTCCTGCTCCTGCTCCTGCTCCTGCTCCTGCTCCTGCTCCTGCCCCTGCCCCTGCCCTCTCCTCCCGGGTTCTTCGCTCTCCTGCGTTTGAGCTTTCTTCCCCGGGATGTGTGGTGCCAGCGCCGGCGCCCTCCGGTGCCACCGCACCCGGCAGCGATGGGCCGCATCGGGCTGGTGCATCCCAGGGGATGCTGGGTGTCCGCTCGGCCGGCAGGGGGCCCCAGAGCCACGGCACAGCCCGCTGTGGCTCGCGGTAGAGCGGGGCACGCCGGGGCGCGTCCCTCCGGTAGCGGCGGCAGCCGCTCGGTGGGTGCGGGCGGAGGCCCCGCCGGGGCTGGGTGGCGGCTCCGTGGTGCCCTGTGTGAGCCTCCAGAGCGCAGCCACGGGCGCTGCCCTCGCCCAGCGCTCTGGAGGTGTCCCCGGTGCTGACCCTGCGAGCCGCGGGTGCGCCGCGAGGAGGCGGTGGCGCGGTGCCGTGCTCTGAGGCTGGGCAGGGCCCGCCGCGCTCTTGTGCAACGCGGCCGGGAATGGGCCTCGAGTCACTGGGAGCCGGGTCCGGCCCCGCACCGCAGCCGCCCCCTCTCTGCTTGTGGCGGCTGCTGCCGAGCCCCCAGCGAGGGGGACCTGGCCCCGGGGTCACCTCAAACGTGAAGGAAGCGCCCAGAGCTTGTTTCTCAAGGCCCGGCCCCCGGGCGCTGAGCTCGCAGCAAGAGCTGCTCCAGCGCAAGCAGCTCCGGAGCCCGTCGGGCTGGGATGGGGGGAGCGGCCTTAGAGACTTCACCCCATTGCTGTGCTTCAGTTCTCTTGGTGTTTTTGGTAGGGCCGGCCCCTTGCAGGAGCAGGACTGCTCTGTGGCTGGGGAGTTCCTCTTGACCCGGGGTTTCGTAACATTACCTGATACTATCAGATCTCTCTGACTAAACGGAGTGTCGTGTTTCCTAAAACGCTGCTCTGTGCACTTGGAGCCGCTTGTTTCACCCCGCAGCTGAGCTGCAGAGGCCCCTAAGGGCTCTGCCTGGTGCCCCCCCCCCATCTCTCCCTGGCATGTGTGGCCTTCCGTCGGGTTCCAGAGGGCTCTTCTCTCTGCCTCTTGCTCCGTGCAGCCCTGACCCTGTGTCACCGCCCAGCAGGAGGGTAAAGGGCCTGGGGAGGGGTTGGGAGGCGCTGGGCTCCCCGCAGCCAGCGAGGTGGGAGCGCTGCACACTGCACCGGGTCACCGGCCGCAGGCACGTGCCTGAGCTGCGGCTGCTCCAGCGCAGCTCCCAGGGTGCTGCGGGTACCGCCCCGTCCCCCGCAGGAAACAGCTCAGCCCCGCCGGGGTAAACACGTTTCCCAAGAGCGAAACTGCCGGGCCGGGGGCAGCACCCGCCTGGGAGTCACCTCCACGTGAGCCCCGCCCGCTCTCAGCCCGGCCCCCGCACGGATGCACCCGTGCCCAGCAGGGTCACGGGCTCAGCTTGGTGGGGCTGCTGCAGCAGGGGGGATCCCAGCCCAGCCCCAGCCCAGCCCCGAGCCCCTCTGACGGGACTCTCCCACCCTACTGAAGGCAGCGCCCTGCAGCCACAAGAAATGCTGAGACAGAGGGCGAAGGAAACCCCCTTGGCTGGGGACCAAACACCCCAAAGCTGCAGCTTCCTCCCCAGGCAGGAGTGGGGCAGCTGCCCCCTCGCTCCCTGTGTTGCTCCGTGCACCCAAGCCCTGCAGCGCGTTCTCTTGATGGCTGGAAGGCCTTTATTGGGCTCTACCCGCGGCTGCCCCCCCTGCCCTGAGGTGCAGTGAAGGCCCCTCTGACGCGCTCTCCTGTCCCCCGCTGGGGGCTTGTGCCGTGCTCACCAGTGCCGGGGCAGCTGTGGGTGCAGGTCCCGTCGCTGTGGGGGAGCCCTCGACACCTCACTCGTGTTTGCAGAAGCTCTTCAGCGGCGGGGGCAGGTCCAGGCCGTCGATGGCCAGGCGGTGCACGATGTGCTTCTCGATGACCAGCCGGCACAGGGTCTGCAGGGACGGCACTGGGGACAACACAGACAAGGAGCTGAGCTGCCTGTGGGTGGCTCCTACAGCTCCCCACAGGCACCCAAAGGTGGTGGTTGCCCTGCCACAGGAGCAGCAGGATCCTGCCCAGGGCTTGAGCTGGCTGGGCCGGAGCTTGAGGGCTCCGTGCAGGGAAGCTCTTCCCATTGCTCAGAGCAGGGCTGAGGGACGTTCTGTGCCCAAGCCACACAGTGCTGGGGCTGTCTGAATCCGTCATCTCCGGGGGCTGTTGAGCAGCTCCCCAGGTCTCACACACCTGCACTGTGCTCTGCTTTCCCTGGCTCCTTGGCCTGCTTCCATGCTGGGTGTCTGCAGGACAGCTCTGGAGATGCCCTTGTGACAACCACCTTGACCTGTTCTGTGGCCACCCCTGCGGCTCTGCCTGCTTCCTGCTCCTGTGGCACACGTCCCACTGGGATTCCTCTCTCCACAGCCCTTGGTGGCTCAGCACCGCAGTGTGGCTCTTTAAACAGAGCTGACTCAGGTGCAGCCGTGGGCCTTGGTTCATCCACAGCCTCCAAACCAAAGGAGAGCTCCCTGGGGCATCGTGCTCAGCCAGAGCGGACCCAGCCCTTTCAGCTGAGGCCTCGTGGCTGCAGGGCCAGTGCCTCCAGGAGCTCACACCGGGCAGAGCAGGGGTGGTTTTGGATGGCTGGAGCACTTCTCTCCACCTCGGCAGCGCGGGGCTGCATCCTGCCAAGTGCTGGGTGAGGGGTGAGAGATGCCCTTTGCCTCTCCTGCCCCTGCACCGCGTGTCACCAGCAGCTCAGCTGCTACTTCTGCTTTCCACCTCACCCACCAGCCCCGGGCCAGGAACAGAAACACACTGGGACTGATTTTAAACCCTGCGGAAGTGGTGCACAAACCGGAGCTACCTCAATCGCAGTGGAGGAGAGGAAGCCAGATTGTGCCTCTGCAGCGGTGCCTGTGCCAGCCGCAGGGACACGGCCTGGGGCTCAGCGCTCACAGGGACCCACGGCTGCGGTGCAAGGGGCCAGCTCTCCCACAGGTATGTGCCCCAGCGCATCCCTCACTCCCCAGGCTCTCGGTTGCCTCCGGTAGCTCAGGTCAGTGACCCTCAGCACACTCCCAAGGCAGGGCCTGGGCAGCCGGGCACGTTTAATCCCCATTTGGATAATCGGGCTCCCAGCAGCTGGTGGAAGAACCCCAGATTCCAGCCTTGAGACGGACGCAGCTGAAGGCTGCACCAGTAGAGACGCAGTTGGTGGCTCCCGGTGGTCGGTGCAGCCACCACCAGGCACCAGCTCCTGTCTTGCCCCTCGTCTCACCTCATCCTCAGCACTGGCTCATTTATGGTGCTAATTAGCAATGACGAGCCCGACTCCTCCTAAGAGCCATGACCAGCACCGGCTGAGGGACGCCAGGCATTGCCCAATCTCCGGTGGCATCACGGGGTGTCCGCCCAGGGCACAGCACGGGGCACGTGGCAGGTGCAGGGCGCAGCGTGTGCCTGGGCGGGCGCTGCCGGATGTTTTGGTGCCCGGCAGGACGTCGCCTGGCTCTGGTTGCCGCGTGCCGCGGGTGAGGCCGGGCACTGTGATGGACACCAACAGGCAGCAACGCGAGCACCAGCACCGGCCTCTGGTCAGGAGCATCCATGAGGCTGGGGGTGAGCATGGTACTGCTGGGGCACCGCGGCCCTCGGTCCAGGGCAACCCAGAATACCCACCCCATTGCTCTGCCCGGGAGCAGCAACCAGGCTGGGCTCTGCCCCGACCACCGCCACCGGGATCTGGTGTGGGCTCTCCCCTGAGCCGGTGCGACAGAGCCTTCAGCAGCCACTGCCCGTCAGCAGCACTGGGGCTCTCAGCCCTGCTCTGTAGGGTCCAGGGCTCTCCTGTGCCCCCTGTCCCGTGTCCCTCTGCCCTGTGCCACTCTCTGGTGCTCCCACTGTTGAGGTGACTCCCCCCCAGCCACTCCACAGCTCCTGTCCCACGCCCCCAGGAGGGTTTAGGGTGCTTACAGCCATAATCCACCGGGATGACCCGGACACTCTTGGTGGAGGCAAAGACGTCAACCACGGCGTAGAGCGGGCGGGCTGTGGGCAGGCGCCGGGCGCTGGGCCCCATGTCCTCCCCATTGATGATGATGTGCATGTCGGCGGTGCCGTCGGGCTGCGGGGTGTACAGCACGCCAATGCGGCTGCGCCGGGCCGTGGGGGGCAGCACGTTCGTCCTGTACAGCTCATCCAGGATGTGGCTGTAGCGCCCGGGCCTGCTGCGCCCCACCAGCACGTCACGGGGGATCCTCACACGCTCGATGCACAGGAAGGGCTCCCCGGGGGCGCTCCGTGCCTCCTCCCCATCCACCGCCACGCGGTTGTGGTTGCGGGTGATGGCAAACACCCACGTGTCCCCCATGTTGACCAGGTCTGGCAGCGAGTACTCGGGCACGGCCTCGAGGCGCTGTGGGTCGAGGGCCGTCAGCCCCACGCGTAGGTGCCCGCACCAGCCCAGCTCCTTCTCCTCGATCTCCACCAGGAACACCTCCCCGGGCGCCAGCGGCTCCTGGCTGAAGCAGACCCCGTGGGCGAAGCTCTCCACGCGCGTGGCCCGCGTGCGGGTCCCGTCCAGGCGGACGTTGGCGCCGTGGACGCGGTGGAAGCGCGCGGCCATCACCAGCGCTGCTGTGCCTATTTATAACCGGCCCCATCGGTCACAGCTGCCGCGGGGCGGGGACGGGCGCGGGGCCCGGAGGGGTCCTAGTGCCGCGGGGGAGGGTCCCGCGGGTACCGGGGGCAGCCGCGCACCGCCAGCCTCAACGGGGCTCAGCGCAGAGCCCGCCCGGTGGGACCGGGGCTGCCCGGGCCCCGGCCGTGCCCAGCGCTGTGCGGCCATGCCCGCTGTGCAGCCGCGGCTCTCCCGGTGCCGGTGCCGGTCTCACGTGCCGAGCGGACAGGGACAGAGACCGGGCGCTCCCGGGCTCTGATTGGCCACCGCGGGGCCCCACCCCGCTCACGTGATCGCGGGAGGTCATATGGGTGGGTATCATGTGCCTGCCGGTATTGCCGCCTGCGGGAGCCGCGCCGGGAGCTGCGGGGGTAAGCGGGGGTCAGCGGCACCGGGCGGGAGGGGGCAGGCGGGAGGGGAGGGAGCGGGCACCGGGAGTGGGGCCGGGGACAACCGGAGCGGTTCGTGGGGCGCTGGCGGTGCCGTTCCCGTTCCCGGCCGGCAGCGCCCCGACCTCTCTCCTCCGCCGCCCGCAGATGGGGCCGGTGCTGCTGTTGGCGCTGCCGCTGGTGCTGGGGCTGAGCCGAGCCGCCCCCCCGGACCATGAGGTGACCTTCCTGCCCGGGCTGCGCAAGCAGCCCTCCTTCCGGCACTTCTCGGGCTACCTCTGCGCCGGGCCGGGCAAGCGCCTGCACTACTGGTACGTGCGGGCAGCGCCGGGCTGTGCCGCGGGCGAGGGCAGGCGCTGGCCGGGCGCTGACGACCTCGTGTCCGCAGGTTCGTGGAGGCCCAGAGCAACCCCCAGAGCAGCCCCCTGGTGCTGTGGCTGAACGGGGGCCCCGGCTGCAGCTCCATGGAGGGCTTCCTGAAGGAGCATGGCCCCTTCCTGGTCAGTAGCCGCAGCTGCCCTCTGGCCGGGGCTGTCAGGCTGCGTGTGCAGCACGAGCTGCCCCACCGGGGCCAGCCTGGCTGTGCCCTTCGGCCACCGCCTTCTGCCTCCCCAGGTCCAGCCCGATGGGGTCACGCTGAAGTACAACGACTACGCCTGGAACAAGGTATGGGCACAGACGGCTGAGGGGAGAGGGTGGCCCTGAGCTGGTTCCTCCTGCCTGTGCCACGGAGCCCATTCCTGCGGCCCCCGGCCTGGCTCTTTCTCCTCTCAAGTCTGCTCTCAAGACCTGGCAGGAGCCCAGGCACCCGTGGGTGCTGCTTGTTTCAAGCCAGGAGCAGACCCTCTGAGCTCCCTCTCCTCTGCTCTCCCTGCAGGTTGCCAACGTGCTCTACCTGGAGTCCCCCGCTGGCGTTGGCTTCTCGTACTCTGATGACAAGAAGTACGCCACGAACGACACGGAGGCGAGTGACGGGGCTGCTGGAGGGGCCCGTCCCGGCGCGGGGGTCCTGCCTTGCTGGTGACGCGTCCCCTCTGCCCTGCAGGTTGCTCACAACAATTACCTGGCGCTGAAGGACTTCCTCCGGCTCTTCCCCGAGTACTGCAAGAACGACCTCTACCTCACAGGGGAGAGCTATGGGGGAATCTACATCCCCACGCTGGCCGAGTGGGTGATGCAGGACCCCAGCCTCAACCTGAAGGTGAGCAGTGGGGCTCTGCCGCCGGCCTTGCTGCGGTGCTGGGGTGGGGACGGGCGTGCGGGGCTCTCTGCGGGGTGTGGGGCAGGGCTGGCCCCGTGCCTTTCATCTCGTGCTGACGCTGGCAGCGGCTGCTGCGGACGTGCCCAGCCCGGCCGTGGGGGACCCTGCGAGCGTCCTCAGGCAGCCCTGACCCTCCCTGTTCCCTCCGTGCAGTAAACAGAGCTGCATCTGCTTCCTGCGGCTGCCCTGCGGGGAGCAGGAACACAACAGAGTTGTTTTCTTCTTGCCTCGCAGGGAATCGCTGTGGGAAACGGTCTCTCATCCTATGAGATCAATGACAACTCCCTGGTTTACTTTGCCTATTACCACGGCCTGCTGGGGACCGAGTAAGAAGGGGGGGGGTGCTGGCTGCTCTGTCCCTGTATGAGTGGGCCAGGGCTGGCTGGGTCTGTGGTGTGCAGGACACAGGGAGCCCCTGGCCTGGGCCAGCAGCCGGGCTGTGGAGATGGCCCCTTGTCATGGGCAGCTCCATGGGTGTGATCGCTCAGGGGCACACAGGGCATGGGCTGAGCCACGCGCCATGCAGCAGCAAGGCTGGGAGCCTGCAGTGCTGCAGCCACAGCCGATGGCTTGGTGTTGGTGTTGCCACCTGGGCAGTGCGGTTCAAGACCCTGGTCTCTGCCCCCAGGCTGTGGAAAGACCTGCAGGCCTTCTGCTGCTCCCAGGAGAAGTGCAACTTCCACGACAACTCCAACCTCAACTGCACCCTCAAGGTGAGGGGAGCGGCAGCCCCGAGCCCATGCCCTGCACTGCTGGGGGGGAGCAGCACCCGCCATGGACCCTGGAGCATCCTGCTGAGCCCCAGCCCCTTCTTGCGGCTCGTTGCAGATGGAGGAGATGATTCAGATCGTGGAGGAGTCCGGCCTCAACATCTACAACCTGTATGCGCCGTGTGACGGCGGCGTCCCCGGGGGCTTGAGGTCAGAGCAGCCCCAGGGCAGCGGGTCTTGGTTTGGTTTGCTGTGAGGGGGGTCCTGGCTGGGCTCGGGCCCCTCTGGGACACTTTGACCGGGCCTGGCTGCTGTCAAGGACTCCCCCAGGGAGGGCCCCAAGCTCTTGCTCCAGGGCTTTCAGCCCATCCCACGTCATTCCTGCTGCAGGTATGAGGGTGACTACCTCATCACCCACGACCTGGGCAACTCCTTCATCCGCATGCCCATGAGGTTCTCGTGGCGGCAGGTGAGCTGTGGGGCCGCCCGTGTCCTCGGGGGGGCGGGAGGGGGCAGAGAGCGGCCGCCCCCGCAGGCAGCTGTGGCAGGGCCTCTCCCCGCTCTCCCAGAACCTGTTCCGGATGCCGGTAGCCCGCAATAAGGTGCGGATGGACCCGCCCTGCACCAACTCCACAGACATCAGCGTGTACCTGAACGCCCCGGAGGTGCGGAAGGCTCTGCACATCCCTGCCGAGGCCCCGGAGTGGCAGGTTTGCAGGTGAGTGAGCTCCGGGCGGGAGGGACCGGCCCCAGCCCCAGCCGTGCTGGTGCTGATGCTGATGCTGATGCTTCCTGCCCAGCTTTGAGGTGAACCGCGGCTACAAGCGCCTCTACATGCAGATGAATGACCAGTACCTGAAGCTGCTCGGAGCCACGGTGCGTGGGGGGGGGCTAGCCCCAGGCCCGGCTCTGCTGAGCTGCGGAGCGCTCACCATCCTTCTGCCCCCAGAAATACCGAATCCTGGTGTACAACGGGGACGTGGACATGGCCTGCAACTTCCTCGGGGACGAGTGGTTTGTGGACTCCCTGTGCCAGAAGGTAAAGGGGCAGTGCAGGCCTGGGCCGGGCTGGTGCCCAGCTCTGTGTCCAGGGGCGGGCTGCGGCGAGGGCAGCGGGCACTGAGGGCACCGCACTGCTCCCAGGTTCAGGTGGCTCGGCGGCCCTGGCTCTACACGGAGAAAGGTGAAAACCAGATCGGGGGCTTCGTGAAGGAATTCACCAACATCGCCTTCCTCACCATCAAGGTAGGGCTGTGGGGGCTCGGGGGGCACAGGGCTGCCAGTGCCGCAGGCAGAGCGGGGCTGGGCTGGCTGGGCTGTGGCTGACCTGCTACCACCCATCTCCCACAGGGAGCTGGGCACATGGTGCCCACGGACCGGCCGCTCGCTGCCTTCACCATGTTCAGCCGCTTCATTAAGAATGAGCCATACTAAAACCAGTGGAGGCAGCACCCGGCTGCCCCCAGCACCTCCTGCACAGCCCCACTGCAGCTGCGCCAGGGCCCCTGCACCACCCACCTGCCCCTGCTGCAGCCGGTGGGGCTCCTGCACCGCTCACCCGCCCCTGCTGCAGCCGGTGGGGCTCCTGCACCGCTCACCCGCCCCTGCTGCAGCCGGTGGGGCTCCTGCACCGCTCACCCGCCCCTGCTGCAGCCTGTGGGGCTCCTGCACCATTCACCCGCCCCTGCTGCAGCCGGTGGGGCTCCTGCACCGCTCACCCGCCCCTGCTGCAGGCTGTGGGGCTCCTGCACCATTCACCCGCCCCTGCTGCAGGCTGTGGGGCTCCTGCACCGCTCACCCGCCCCTGCTGCAGGCTGTGGGGCTCCTGTGCTAGCCCGGGCTGAGGATGGGGCTGCGGGCGGCAGGAGCAGCCCCGCGGGCTCTGCTCTCTCTGGATAGGGAGCTGTGCGCCTGCTGCAGCTGCCAGCTCTTCTGTGGCTTCCTGTGTCGCCTCTTCCCTGTCTGGGGTGGCAGCTGCTTCCCCCGGGTCTGGCACAGCCGCACACTTCCCTTTGCCCCTGCACGCAGAGCCCTGGGCACACCGAGGCAGGGCCCGTTAGGAAAGCACAGTCCAGGCGGTGGCTGCGGGCAGCTCCTGGAGGGCTCTCAGCTCCAGCCCCGCTCTCCCCTCTGATGGCGCTGCAGGAGCCATTCCATAAGGACAGTCCCACTGCCCGCTCCCTGCCCAGGGCACACAGCGCTCTGGGAACTTGCAATAAACTCTCTGAACCAGGTGGTTCTGCTCCCTATGCCCAGCTCCTGGCACCGCTCTGTTACCCCTCTGCTCTCTGATGGGCACCACCCTGTGCCAAGGATGCTGCAGCAGTGAGTGCTGCCACCCTGTGCTGGGGCACCAAGACTTGTGTGCCTTCTGTCCCCTACACTGCTCAGTGTTCACGGAGGCCTGGAAACGGCCCCCACAAGAGCAGGGAGGGGCAGTTGCTCTGAGCCCCTCTGCCACTGGTCTGTGGCTGCCTCCTTCACCACCTCTCCCCATGCACAACACGGGCCCAACCTCCAAACACCGAGGCCACAGGGGTTGGAGTCGCGTGGTTTATTAGTGTGAGGAGCAGGGGAGCAGCAGGGGTTCCCAGAGCGTCCGTCTCCACCTTGCTGCTACCCACCAGGGCACGGGGCCCTGCAGGACGTGCCAGTGGGACCAGGGACGCTGCTTCCTACCTACAGCCTACGGGTCCAGCCCGGGATCTGCCCTGGATCCGCAGTGGGGGAGTGAGTGTGAAGCGCTAGAGCTGGGGGGGCTCCACACTGGGTGCTGTGGGCTCTGGGCTGGGGCGGGCAGCGGCTGTGGGCGCCGGGCGGTATTTCTCAATCACCTCTCGCAGCTCTTTGGAGAAGTGGAGATCAGCTCCCACCGTGAGGAATCCCTGCGAGGGGGAGAGGATCAGCATGAGGCTGGCTGGGAATGGGCCCTGCCCCACAGAGCACAGTGCGGGGGCCCAGGCTGTCCTCGTACCGCATGGTTGGTGACCACCTCCTTGGTGAAGTCCATGCCTTCGGGCAGTGGGATCTGCACCCCCTTCTTGGTCCTCTCTGTAGGGAGGGAGAGATGCAGTGAAGCCAAGTGCAGCTGCCCCAGGCCTCTGCGGGCAGCGCTGGTGCCTACCGTTAATGATGGGCATGATGGTCAACTGCAGCAGCGTCTTCAGAGGGGCCTGCAGTGAGAAGAGCTGCGGGGAGAGGGGTCTGGGTGAGGCAGCAGCAGCAGCCCAGGCCCTGCTCGGCCCCGGGGGGCTCAGGCCGTGTCCTGTGCCCCGGGCAGGGGCTGCTGCGGGAGCTCACCGCCAGTGACTCCAGGGCCGACTGCTTGGAGTAGATGCGGAACCTGCGGGGGGGAACCAGGCGTGAGCGGGGCACGGGGGCAGCACCCGGCAGCCTCCAGCGCCCCGCACGGGCCCTACCGCCGCAGGTCCAGCTGCACGCGCAGCGCCTTCCCCTGCAGGTACACCCTGGCGCTCAGCTTGGTCTCCTGTGGAGGGAGGAGGGTGACCCCCAGCCCTGGGTGCTGCTCCCAGCCCGGCTCTGGGACACCGCAGCCTCCCATGTGGGCTGGGCACTGCTGGTCCAGGCCCAGGGGTCTCTGCTCACCATGGCCATGCTGGAGAGCTGCACGGCCGGGCGGCCGGGCGGCACCAGAGAGATGTTGAGGAAGGCAGAGACGGAGACGGAGGTGCCTGAGGGTTTGATGATGCAGCGGGGGGGAGCTGAGACCTGCAGCACCAGCCGCAGGGGCGCATCCACGGTGGGACTCTGAGGAGGGCAGGTGAGCCATGGGCAGGGAGCTGGGCTGGGCTCTGCCCGTGCCTCCCGCCCGGCCAAGTGCTGCTCTCACCAGCATGAAGATGGTGCCGAAGAAGGTGGCTCTCAGCAGAACCTCCAGGTCCTTGGGCACCTGCAGGGAAGACAAACACCCCCAGGGTGAGCGAGCAGTCGCTGGTGACCCAGCAGAGCTGTTCCTCATCTGCTGTGTGGGCAGAGCCCGGCCCCGCTCCTGCCTGCCCGCAGAGAGCTGCCCCCTGGAGCCTGGTCTCCTGCCCTGCTTCACCTTCTCCCCCTGGAGCTCGATGGCCAGCACGCCCGCCTGGAAGTACGCCTGCATGGCCGAGTCGAAGAAGTACTCGGAGAAGGCGACGTAGACCATGCGCTCGGTCTCCTTGATCACCGGCTCCACCGCGTGGTTCTCCAGCTCCTGGCTCTCTCTTACACGTGGGAAGAACATGCCCTAGGCCGAGAACAGCAGAGGTTTCTGTGGCTGTAGCACAGCCCAGCCCGCTCCATGGTGCCCAGCATGCAGCCAGCACAGCTGCCCTCAGCAGGGCAGGATCCAGCCCTCACCTTGAAGTCCAGATCAAGGGTGTCTGCTGAGACGGCCGGATCCCGCAGGAGGGAATAGTCAATCCCTATGTGCTCATCCACGTAGTTCCTCACTGTCGGGAGGACACGCTGCTGTCACTGTGCTGCAAGCAGCCCGATGCCCAGCGCCGGCCCCCTGCCCCAGTGACACTCACCCGGCACCGTGTCCAGCACAGAGTTGAGCAGCACCAGGCTGGCGTGCTCCAGTGATGGGCAGATCTGAAAAGCAAGGGGCTGGGCTGAGGTCTGGATGAGGACCTGGCCCTCCTGCTCCTGCAGGCAGAGCAAGGCTGGGGTCCCCACTGCCTGTGTGCACTGGGCTGTACCTGCTGGCTGAGGAGGAAGCGCATCCCTGTGACAATGAAGGTGCTCAGGAACTCGTAGACCTTCCTGCAGGACACGACAGCAGCTCTGCAGCCGCCTGCCTTCCCCTGTGACTCCAGCTCCATGTGAGCACAAAGCCCAGACGGGGGGGGGGGCAAAGGGTGCAGAAGGGGAAGTCTGGGAGCTGGGCAGAGGCAAAGCTGCCCTGGCAGAGGGACGGGGCTGCTGTAGCAGTGTCAGGTGTACCTGAGCGTGCCGGAGAAGCCTGCGTGCATCCTGGCAATGGAGGCATTGCAGGTGATGTTGGAGATCTTGAGGCGCCCAGCCTCGTCCTTGGCCAGCTGCAGCACTGTGTGGATGTGGACACCATCCGCAGAGGCATTGATGGACCCGATGTCATAGCTGGAAGCGAGGAAAATGGGTGAGAGGAGCCCTCAGCACCCAGCGGGCACAGCCGGGGGTGGGCAGCGGGAGCAGGAGGAAGCTCACAAGAACCAGTAGAGCAGCTGCCTGCGGAAGCGCAGGCTGATGGAGGCGTTGTTGATGTTGAAGACGAGGTGCTGCTGCGGCTGGAAGTGCAGGTCCGACAGCGCTAGCTGCAGGTCCATCACCTTGACCCTGCAAGGAGGGCACAGAGGGGGTATAGGACGCACAGACGGGTGCAGGGAGCTGCGGGCAGCAGGCAGCACTCACTGGCTGATGTTGTAGTGGAACTGTCCCTCCTTCCCGTGCAGGTCCGACACCGTGATGTTCTGCAGCTCCTGCTCCACAAAGCGCAGCCCCTCCTGTTTCACTGCAAAGCAAAGGGAGCCCGGGCTGGCCACCGCCAGGCTGTGTTCCCCCCAGCAGCATCACCCTTGTGTGTGCAGCACAGGCAGAGCCCAGCCGGGGCTGTGCCCAGCCTCCCTCTGCCCAGGCCCTGGGGCCCCTTACCCAGCTCCAGCCCCTTGGAGGTGATCCGGATCTTGCAGCCGGGTGGGCTGTGTGAGGCGGTGACCAGGCAGGGCAGGAGGAAGAGGAGGAGGAGGCGGCTGCCGGCAGCCATCTCGTACCTGGAGCAGAGCAGAGCAGAGGAGAGGCGAGGGTCAGCAGGGGCGGGCTGGGGGGCCACGGCCGGTGCCTGCCCTGCTCACAGCCCCCGCGCACGGCACGGCCCGAGGAGCACCCGCAGCTCCCGCTGCTGCCCAGACCCCATCGCCTGAACCCCCCGAGAGGAGCAGCCCACAGGAGGCAGAGCCCCTGCATGGACCCCGCGGGGTCTCAGTGCCCGGGAGCATCCGCTCCTGCAGCCCCAGCAGCGTCCAGCCCTGAACAGCCCCAGTCCCGCGGAGCAAGGCACAGGCTGGGAGCTGCTGCTGCAGGGAGCCGGGCAGCCCCGCTGCCCCCCTTCCCCAGCCCCGCTGCGGGGATGTGCGGGGGCCCGGCCCGGCGGCTGGGCTGAGCAGCAGCAACAGGCAGAGCCCCTGCAGGGCTGGGGGACGCTCTGGGGCTCCCCACTCCATTGCCCCCCCGTTCTCACGGGGCGAGCGTGGGGTCCCTGGTGCAGGGCCCGGGGAGCGGGACACAACCCGGCTCGGTTCGGGTACTTACAGCGGGGCTTGTCCTGGGCTCCCCTGGCGGGGGGAAGCGGGATCACGTGAAGGCACCGAGGGAGGGAGAGCGCCAGGAGTTTCTTCGGCGCCGGCTGCGGTTCTGCCTTTATAGAGCCCACCCGCGGCCACTCCTTGCGAGCCCACAGCTGGGAGGAGACAGCGGCGCGGGGGGGATGCGGGTCCCAGGCTCGGTGCCTGCCAGCGCGGGCAGGGACAGCGCCGGGGCAGGGACAGCGCTGCGGGCACGTGGGGAGTGAGGGCTCCGTCAGTCGGGGCAGCCCCCCCGGCTGCTCCTGGTGCCAACTTCCCCCCAGCCGCCCTCTGCCAGCTCCGGCTCTGGGGTGTGCCCATGCCCATCTGCAGGCTGGTTCATGCCCATCTGCGACCTGAGCCCCAGGCAGAGAAGCCGCCGATGTTGCCGGGTGCAGCAACCGCTGCCAGAGCCCTCGGGGCTGCAGGATGTGCCCAGCTTGCTGCCGGCGGCCTGGCAGGTCCCGGCGCTCATGGCACCATGACGGGCACTGCCGAGGCTGCCAGCAGCACCCAGGCTGCTGTCCTGCTCCCTCCTGCCCGGCAAGCACCCAGCACAGAGCGCCTGGGAGCTGCCCCTGCCCTCAGAGCGCTTTCCTCTACCCTCGGAACCCGCTGTTCCCCCGCAGGCAGGGGTCGGTCCGATAACCCCTCTGTGGCCCGGGGTTATCTGTGCTGAGGGGCAGCAGAGCAGAGCTGCGCCGCGGGCTCGCACCCATCACAGGGAGGCTCTGGGGAGGCTCAGTGCTTACACAGCACTTATCCCCCCACAACTGCTTCGCCAGCATTAACTCCTGCATTGACCCCGCTGCTCCGGGAGCAGAGGGCAGGACCTGCGGGACAGGGAGCACTGCGGCCGCTGCCGGGGAGCCCGCGGAAAGCGGGGCAGCGCAGAGGGAGCGGGCAGGGCAGGGCCCGCAGTGGAGTGAGGGCAGCGCGGCCGAGCCGCCAGCGGTGACGAGTCCCGGGGGGAGGCAAGGCTGCCGAGGGCCGGCGGAGGGGCACCTCCGGGGCTCAGTTGCAGCCGCACACCGCAGCGCGGGCCCGGGCACACCCCGGTACCGCCAGCACCGGAGCCGGTCTGTACCCGACTGCGGCCAGGCTAACGCTGCCCCGGCGGGGACGTGCGTTCGGACGCGCGGGGGTCCCACTGCGGTCACCGGGACAAGCCACGCCCGAGCCCGGCGGGCGGGGGAAGCCCAGCTACGGCACCCGCTGAGCCGCTGCCGCTGCCGGCCCCGCCCCGGCGCCGCTGCCTCTTCAAAGGCGCTTTGTCGGCGACCGCGCCCGGCCTGTGCAGGGACCTGCCCGCCGCGGCTGGGCCGGGCTGGGCCGCAGTGACCGCTTCAGGCCCGAAATAGCGGCGGCGCGGCCCTGCCCGGGGCGGGGCCGGCCCCACACACCCAAGATGGCGCCGCGGCCGCCGCTCCCCTTCCGCGCATGCGCTCCCCGCTCGCCGGAGCGCGGGCTCAGCTGCGTGCAGGCGCCCTCGCGGCGGGCCGGCGGGCAGCGCGCATGTGCTGGGCGGTGGCCGCGCGGCGGCACCTGCGCAGTGCCAAGGGGGGGCGGCCCCGCGCCTGCGCACCGCCGGCCCGCGGTCCCGGCGCAAGATGGCGGCGGCGGGACGGGCGAGGCGGAGGTGGGGCAGGTGTCGCGGCGCCCGGTGCCCGCAGTCCCCGGCAGCACGCACAGGTGAGCGGCGCGCCCGCGGCTGCTCGCGAGCAAGGGAGGGCGGGCGGCGGCGGGCGGGCGGCGGAAGGAGGCGGTGCAAGGAGGCGGCGCAGGCCCGCGGCCGCCATCTTAGAGCGTAGTCGCTGCCGCCGCCGCTGCGCCTGCTTTGGCCGTGTTGGGCCCGCGATCCCGCCGCCGCGCGTGCGCGCGCCCGCGCCCGGAGGCTCCTCCCCGCGGCGCCGTAACGGCCTTCTGTCTCCGCAGCGGCCCCCGCGGGCCCGGCGCGGGACGCCCCGCTATGAGGATGCGGCAACGGCCAGCACGGAGCGACGGCCACGCGTCCCGCCAGGCAGCCCGCCACCGTAAGTACTCGCGGGGCCGCTCGCCTCCGCCCCGCTTCCACCGTGTCCCCGGACTCCTCCCGTCCAGCCTGCAGAGTTGTCGCCGCCGCCGTTTCCGCTCCGCACCCGCTCGGCCCCGGCCCCCTTGGCTGCCCGCCGGTCCCGACCCGCCGCGCCAAGGAGCTCCGTCCGGTCACCAACGCCGGGAGCGCGGCCCCACACGCTTGCTTCCCTGCCCGCGGCTGACGCGGTCCCTGGGCCCCGGCGCGCTCGCCACACGTGTCGGGAGCGGAGCCCCGCTCGGCCCTTGTGCCGCCCGGGCGCAGGCTCTGGCTCTCGGGGACGGGACAGGTACCGATGGAGGGCGGCAGTGGCCTGGCCTCCAGCCTCCCGGAGCGGCTCGGGGATGAGGGAGAATCTTTGCTGTGCCCGGGGGCTGTCGCTGCTCTCTTTTGTCTGCGTTTGCCGTTGTCTTGTGTAAAATCCCGCCTCAGTGAAACGGAAACAAGCAAAGCCCCTGTCCGCTGTACTTCGTCACTTTGTGTCTCCCTCCCCCTTGCTGCGGTCGCTGGTCGCGTTGCTGCTCCTAGGTTGTAAGCTCTCTGGGCAGGGACAGTGTTGTCTGTGAAGTACTGTGTGCGTGGTGTATAAAACCAACCAGAATCACCATAAAATGCTGGATTAGTCTGGATCCCTTTATTATCATTCTGGATCCCTTTTACTGTCTAAGTCCCGACACTAGTTGCATAAAAGTCAGGATTCCCATCAGTTTGCTTTTCCCTTTACCCATACCTGAAGGGTACTTGGATTCAGTACTCATCAAACCTGACCAAGTGATAAAGCTTTTTGCCTACTTCCACCATCGTGGTTTATCCGCAAACAGGAGAAGGCAGAGACAGGGACGGACCCCTCTTTGCCAGTGGGTTTGAGCACCAGCAGGTCGCTGCGGCTGCTGTGTGCTGGCCAGTGCAGGAGGATCTTCAGAGCCAGCACTGTCTGTCACCTCTTGACATTCACTGGGAGCGCTGGTCCCGTCAGTGTGTACTGGTTCATTACAAGGTGTTCTCTGTGTACCGGGCAGGACACATGAGCACCTGTGTGTGCTTCAGTTTGAGCAGGGGCTGAGCATGGCCTGGGAGGGCTCCAGTAGTCCCTCGGCTGGCAGCTGAGGGGCTGCAGCCACTGCCCAGTGCTGGCTGAGCAGCACTGCACGTCCTGCCCTGCACTGGAGCTGTGTGCCAGACGCTCTTGCTGTGGGCTTGGTTGTTGTCACCTGCCTGATTGTGAGCAGAGAGCGAAGCTCCTGGGTCCTGCAGTGCCCCCGACCTCTCACTGCTCACCCTGGCTGGAAGGATGGAAACATCTTCCAAGGTGCTGAGAGGGGTCAGGTTCCTCAGCCCTGGCCTGCATCACACCACTTCCACAGGTGGTACTGCAGGCACCCCAGCTAGTGCCTGCTAACTCGGGGATCCTTTTGGCTCCACCATTCTGCCCCTCTGACAGAGCCAGCAGGTTTTACGGGCAGGGGAATAACTGCAGGTAACTTGGCGTGCAGACCAAACAAGGGGGTTACTTATGAGGTGATCTAAAGTGCATGCACAGCTGGGGTGCTGTGGTGGTCAGTTAGAAACACTTCTGGGTACAAGATTGTGCTGCTGCAGCCCTGACTTCGGTGTTGGCAGCGTATCCCCAGAGGCCTGAGTCGAATTAGGTAACTGAGGTGACAGTAATTATTCAAAATACCTCATTTTCCCGGGGCTTTGCCGCTGTATTTCAGGCTGTGGGGAGGAGCAGGCTGCAGTGCTGCTAGAGAAACCTCCCCGGGGGAGCAGTGGTGACTGAGGAAAAGCCCGGCTCTGTCTCTCTAGCTGACAGCGGTACATTATGATTTAGGGGAGCTGGATTGTCTCACCTGAGCTTCTCCCGTATATAACTGTTGTTATGCAAATGACAAAGTACCAAAGGCTAAAGCTGCCTGAGGCCTTGCAGCTAGGCTGGGCCATGCTGAGGAGAACAGGCCAGGAGGCCCTGAGCCCTGCCTGCGGTTCTCTGAACCACAGGGGCTGTTACCAGTGAAGCAGCAGGGCTGGTTTATACAGCAGAAGTTGTTTAACAAGAGCCATTGGGTTAAATGATGTGCACTTTTGTGTGTGTAGATGTTGTTTTAAAGTGTCTCCGAGTGTGACAGGTCAGATTTGGCTGTGGTGTGAGCGAGGCAGAGGTGGCATATGTTCACAGAGGAGTGGGTTTATGTTCTATGCTCTCAGTGCTGCTCTATGGGCCATGCACTGCGCTCTCAGTAGGGCTTTAGCTGGAAAAAGTGTTTTGAATGCTGGCCTTAAGAGCTCCCTACCTGGCACCAGAGAGCTCAGCATTCCTCCCAGCTAGCTGTGTGTGGGACAGCAGGTATTACTGAGG